GTACGGCACACGAGGGGGTGGGTGGCCAGCACCACGCCCGGCCGCCTTTGTCTCCCCAGTGGCGATATGTTTACACACGGCACCAGGTACTCATTTGAGGCTGAGGCGGCCTAGGGGAAGCCAAGGACCCGTTTAGAGAGAATCGCCACTAATGTTGGCCGTGAGCGGGAATCGAACCCAGGTTCGTAGCGCAGTGCGCTAGCCGCTACACTACACACACACACGTGCATGTGTGTGTGTACATGTCTGTGTGTGTGCACATGTCTTTATCTGTGTCTTTATGTCCTTCTCTGTATATGTGTACGTCTGTGTGCACGTGTCTGCGTGTATATTTGTATTGTTTAACGTGTGTATCCAGTACGTGTGTACGGGTGTCTGTGCATGTGTCCATCAAGCGCGTGCACGTGTGGTGTCTTTGTCAATGTGTCTGTGCGCGTGCCCTATGAAGAAGGGCCATTGCTTTTCCTTTGAAGACGCACAGTGTTGCTGACGAATGTGTCGAGTCACTTGTTCATTGTGCCTGTGCGCCGCTGCCAACGCAGTATCAGAAAAAATAACGTGTGCACATGTTTGTGTGTTTATATGCACATACGGTACGTGGTGCTGGCCACCCACCCCCTCGTGTGCCACAGTGCCGGCCTTCATAGATGCTACTCTGCTAACAGCACTTGCCCCCAACAGTCGGATTCTGCTGTGCGACGGATATATTGCTTTGTACGTTTGAGAGCGGTGGCGCGGTGGTTAGCGCGCTGGTCTACAAAACCTGCCACCTAAGTTCGATATCTTTGAGGGGGGGCGGGGGGGGGGGCTTGTGTGGGTGTCTTTGCCGTGTGTCTTTGTGTCGTGTCTCTGTGATTAAGAGCAAGGGCATTTGTTTTGGAATGGGTTCACATGCAAGGGGCCATTAGCCAGCTCCTCTGCATGTCCCTGATTCTCCAAATAAACACCTTCCCCTCCACACCTGCATTACTCTCTCTGACCCTACAACACTGGGGACTGATGCCCCGGCCCCCATCCCTGGGTAGGTGGGGGGCAGGCAGGGGAGGAGAGTTGTCCTATCTGACCCATAATCTGCCCTCATCTCAGCGTCAAAGCCTCAAGTCGACGCCGAGCTGTCGATTCTTCACGACGTCACCCGCAATAGTCACGCGTCCTCATCAGTTTACGTATTGGTGCAGTAGCCACCCGACATCTGTTTCGGTATGAATGTAACTTATGTTCGTAATTGTGCGACGATCGCTCTGGAAGCGATCTGCCCGGGCCCACTCGGCCTACACGGAGTGTATTACTTCACCTTCATTCGTGTTTTTGCAGCGTCTACTCAGCTGACGCTGTTGCTTTTGCTCCGATTCCTCGGCGCTTTGTTTTGCCTTCGTCACTTTGATGACCCAGGCCACGATTGACTCTCGAGTTCTCAGCTTGCGAAACAAATATGCCCTGCAAAAGAGTTGTCGCTGCATGTTAAAATAGTAACAATTCTGGAATCTGAAATAATGTGAATCACGTGAAAAACAAATGTAGCTGTGTGTGCAGTCGTTGGTGACCGGTCTGCGACCATCAACTCACTGGGCTTGAGAAATTTGTACTCTGTTTTTTTTCGGTAAAGTCACGTAGGTAAAAAATTAAAATAAATTAAATCACGACGTTTCGGGCGCAACACAAGCGTCCTTCTTAAGGTGGGGACAACGTAGCGAAAGCACACCGCTTAAGTGTGTCCGAAAAAAACAAAGAGTATGAATCCTTGCAGTCACGGAAACTTCGAATCTAGAATTTAGAAATCCGGTTTAGTCATGGAAGGCTCAAACACGGGTTCCAACCGAGACCTCTCAGCAGTACCGGCTTGCCGTATCTGACACGGCCATTATAAACCCTACAATCCACCCGGTCACATCTCTGTCTTTCTCCTGAATTGGATTTTTTTGTTTTAATTCTGGGCTGGAATACGACGGCCATCTCATGACATTCCTAAGGAGCCGTGCGGTGTGGACATGGTAGCGACACGTGGTGCGCGCGTGCTGCTGCTGCTGAGCATCACGTGGGCTCAGCGAGCAAGAACGGTGCTGGGGATTTTGGGGCCCCACTTACCCCAATCGGGTTTTTGGGACCTCACTCAATCCATTAGTTATGTTGTGTTCCCCACTCAACTGAACTGGGCTTGTGAGATCCCCCTCAAACCACCCCAATTGGGCTATTGACACCCCACTCATCCCAATAGGGCTTTTGGCACCCACGCTCACCCAAATAGGGCTTCTGAGACTACCCCCCCGCCCATTCGCCTCAAAACGGCTATTAAGAGACAACTCTTCCCAGTGGTACTTTTGGGACTTGTGATCCCATGCAGTGGGGATTTAGGGATCCCACTCACCCCATTAGTGTGTGCACGTGTTGCATTTTTTTCTCACTGTGACACATGTCTGGGGAGGGGGTAGTGGTTGGAAAGAGAGGGGGCCATGATTAGGGTGATGGTGGCTGTGGTCCACAGAGAGAGACACACACACGTCTCTGGACTCAGGACAAAAATACATTAATGGGTCCCATTTACACCACGGGGCCCCCAGAACATCCCTCCAGGTCCCCAAAACAGCGCACGAGGCCCTGGGAAACCACGGGGCACCTGCCACGATGGCCTAGGTGGTAGCGGCGCTGGTCGCGTTGGTGGTGGTGATCGTGGAAAGTGGAAGTGGTGGCAGTAGTTGCAGTGGCGGTTGTTGTGATGGAAGTGGCAGTACCGGTGGTGGATATGGTGGTGCTAGTGGCGGTGGTAATGATGGTGGTGCTGCTGATGGTGGTTGCAGTGATGTTAGTCATGGTGGTGGTAATGACGGCAGTGGAGGTAGTGGTGTTGGTCGAGGTAGGGTGGCGGTTAGCGCGCTGTGCTACGACCCGAGTTCGATTCCCGCTCACGGCCAACACTAGTGACGGCTATCAGAACCGGTCCTGGGCCTCCTCCTAGGTTGACTCAGCCTTAAATGAGTACCTGGTGCGGTGTGTATACATCACCACTAGGGAGATAGAGGCGGCCGGACATGGTGTTGGCCACCCACCCCCTCGTGTGCCGTTCAGGCTTTCATAGATGCTCGCTAACAGCACTTGCCCCAATGGTCGCACCTCCGATGAGCACGGTCGGATACGTACGGTGCGAAAGAAGTTCAATATACATAGATACAGTACATAGTCTGTTAAGGCCGGAAGATCTTTGTCTTTGTGAGTCGAGGCAGCAGTGGGGGTAGTATTGGTGATGCAATATTAAGCCCTGGCTGAAACGCTTTAAGAACCAGTAATCGTTATCTTGTCGGTACAAATAACTCTTATCTTGCTGATAGCAAGTTGAAGCTTCGGTACTGCGATTCGTTAGCCAACACTGCAGTTACATCACTGTTGGCTGTGAACTTCTTCAGTTTAACACTCACGTGGGACAGCCCGGGGCATGCAGCCGAGGGGTGTAGTAGGTACAAGGTAATAATAATAATACTGTCGTAGGTACAAGGTAATAATACTACGATAAGCGTTTCCTTTGTTTATCACGGAAAGTTTCACTGAGTCTGAAGTCTCTTTTCACAGAAGAATCCTGCTATACTCAGTTGGGGAGATGTTTGGCCAATTGCATGAAATGAGAGCTGAGCCTCAGGTGGGAGGAGACCAAGCACGATGCAGACCCAGCCCTCCTGGGTGACCCAGGCAGCCTCCCATCCAAGCACAAGCCAGGCTCAGCCCTCCTGGGTGACCCAGGCAGCCTCCCATCCAAGCACGATGCAGGCCCAGCCCTGCTGGGTGACCCAGGCAGCCTCCCATCCAAGCACGATGCAGGCCCAGCCCTCCTGGGTGACCCAGGCAGCCTCCCATCCAAGCACGATGCAGGCCCAGCCCTCCTGGGTGACCCAGGCAGCCTCCCATCCAAGCACCATGCAGGCTCAGCCCTCCTGGGTGACCCAGGCAGCCTCCCATCCAAGCACGATGCAGGCCCAGCCCTCCTGGGTGACCCAGGCAGCCTCCCATCCAAGCACAAGCCAGGCCCAGCCCTGCTGGGTGACCCAGGCAGCCTCCCATCCAAGCACGATGCAGGCCCAGCCCTCCTGGGTGACCCAGACAGTCTCCCATCCAAGCACGATGCAGGCCCAGCCCTCCTGGGTGACCCAGGCAGCCTCCCATCCAAGCACCATGCAGGCTCAGCCCTCCTGGGTGACCCAGGCAGTCTCCCATCCAAGCACAAGCCAGGCTCAGCTCTGCTGGGCTTCTGAGATCTGACCACAGCGGGCGCGTCCAGAGAGATAGATGTGCTCTCCGCCAGTCGCCCCTGCTCGTAATGCTGAATAGGTGGTCGCTAACATCAATGGTGGCGACGGTTTGAGGAGGCCTTCATCCAGCAGTGGATTGGCCATGGCTGCTGATGATTCCAAATGTAGCTGGTGATGATGAACAGCACGGACCCCCAACAGTTTATTGCCGTATTTTATGGATTATAAAAAAAAACAGTTGGAGATGCGTCTTGTGATCCGGTAGGTGCTTCGGTGTGCATGTGACCAGATTACGCGTCACTTCATTTCCACGCAGCACGTTCTCTAAATCCGGAAAGTAAGACGCACCTCACACGTGTCGCCGTTCTTCCTCATTATAAGACGCACCCAACATAGCGAGACAAATCTGACTTGAGGCTTTTGTGACTGCAGGTATTCATATTCGTTGGGTCATTCGGTGAAGTCACGTAGATAGGTTCAAAGAAAATAACCAAAAACTACGACGTTTCGATCGCAACGCAAGCGGTCGTCATCAGGAAATACCCAAAGAATACGAGACAAATCTGGTCACACGTTGTGGGTGCGTCTTATATTCCGGTGCGTCTTACATTCCAGTAAACCTACAATGGGCTGGTGGGGTGGGGGTTTAGCAGAAGGGAGGGGGGGAGTTGTGGGGGAGGGGCCACTGCCCCCCCCCCTTCTGCACCCCCCCTAATGGTTGCTGACGTGACCCCCACGTGACGGCCTCCTCTACCAATCGCGAGCTTCCACATTCGGGCGGCCGCTGTGGGCGCCAGGCATAACTAGCGGAGCTCAGCGCGGCCTCCTCCTCCTCCTCCACCCCGCCCGCCCGCCGCGTGACGCCTCGCGTCCACCACCACCACCACCACATCCTCCTTCATCGTCCCGCAGCAGCTGCAGCAGCAACAGCACCAGCAGCGGCTCCTTCGCTCCCCGCCCGCTCTAAGCTTGCCAAGCGCTGTCGCCGCGCTGCGGTGTCGCCGTTCCTAAGCCGAGGACGCGCACCTCGCCCTGCGCCGTCATCGTCGTCATCGGCGGCGTCGTCCCCTCTAGCGGCCGGCGGCAGAGAGCGAGAGACCAGCGGCTGGCGAGGTTTGGCTGGCAGTGGCGTGCGGTAATTGAAATCTATCCAGTAAACCTGTCGTTTTTTTATTGTCACGGTAATTGTAACAACAGCAGCAGCAGAGGAGGAGGTGGGCGGCGAGGTGGGGGGTAGCTAACAGTGGTGTTCGTAATCGTTAACCCTGAGAGAGAGAGCGAAGAGAATCTCACACGGGGTCACGAAGAGGAGTCCACGTGTAGCCGCGTCCAGCCAGAGAGAGAGAGAAGCGGAGGCGAGACAGACGGCCACATACAGAGAGACGAGAGAGAGACACCGAGCCAGTCGGCCAGCAGAGAGACTTGAGATAGAAGCCGCGACCCCGGGGCCGCGCACACGGAACCCCTCACCATGGAGAACGGGCACGGCAAGACCGTGGAGGAGGTGTTCACCTTCTTTGGCGTCAACGAAAGCACCGGCCTGAGCCCCGACCAGGTCAAGAGGGCGCGGGACAAGTACGGGCCGAACGGTGAGTGTGCGACTCGCCTGGAATCCCCGGCGGATCCTCTATATCCGCAGTGGTTCCCTCAATCCCCACTGGATCGTCCTGTGTTCTCAGTGGGCCTCCAGTATTCCCCTGTACCCCCAGTAGATCCACCCCCGAAGATCTTGGATGGTTCCCTTTTCTCCCGCCATTGATTCATGTGTTTTTTTCCCTTTCAGAGTATCTGTGATAGACGCTGTCCAAACCCCCCATTTGTATCCCCATTGGGTTGGGGTCCACTTTTCCCCCATGGAAATCCCAATCTCGGCGGATGAATGGGACCCTCATTCCAGCCGCGCTGTGTTCTCGCTTGTTCCGCAAAGCCGCACATGTCTCTGCCAGGACCGCAATGGTAGACTTGCTGGAACGTTCGTGAACTGTTGGGTTACCAAATATCTCCAGCGTTGGTCACGGTCTTGTCACAATCCATCAATTTCGGACTTTGTACCCCTCGTATATCCCTGCCGACTGGCCGAGCCTCCCCCTTGTTAAATCTGGGTCCCGGTCTGTGCTGGTGGACCCTGTCCAAACCCAAATCTCTCCCAGGTCCCTTACCCCCTGGGGCCCCGGCTTCCGCCCTTCGTCACCGGTCTTCAACACGGGTGGCCGGTTACAGAAATATGCCGCGTGTCGAGTAGCGCGGCTTTGTCTCACGAGTCGCTCACGTTGTGGGGGGGGGGGGGTAATGTGTCGGTGTGTAATGCGTCTCTCTCGGTGTCGCCGTGTGAATCTGTGCGCCGCGGCGAGGGAGAAAATAACCACTCGGCGGTGTCTCGTGTCACGAGCCACTAAATTACTAAAACCTCGTTGACAGGGCCTGTCGGAGACCCCCCCCCCCCCACATCTCTCTCTATCCCTGCGGGTTGGGGGGGGGACCCTGCTCAGTCAGTTATGGCTCTCTGCTCTCCCATTCACTGCCGACCTCGCGCCCCTTCCAAGACCCCCTGAAATTATCTTACGCGGAGGACGCCCTCTCGGTCTTCGTCTACGTCCCCGACCCCGATGGGGAGCTTTTGTTGTCGCCTTGTGCCTCAGAGGGGCAAAAAACCACATGGAAGTGTCAGGAATGTCATTGTCTCCCGCCACGAATCCGGAGCCAGCCCCCCACCCCCGTAGTGCCGCTCAGACTCAAACGTTCCCCCCCCCTCACCCGACCCCCTTTGTCTCCCGTCTTCCTGGGTGGGGTCCCCGTGTAATTCCTCTTGGAGCGGCCGTCCCTTTCTGGATTCCCGTGTGTCCCTCAATGGGCCCTCGCGTCTCGTCGTCCCCAGGGCCCCGAACCCTCCCTGGCCTCCCCCGTATCGTCCTCCCTCGTGTACGCCCGGCGCAGCCATTAGAGTTCCCACTACGGTTTGGCATAACGAGTGCTCTGCTCTGAGTTTCATTGGTCGCCTCGGACCCCACGTGACGGCGGGCGACGAATTGGCGTCGGCCGTGCGGCGCGGCGCGCGGATCCGCGCTGGGAAGTGTATGCGGCGCTGCCAATTCATTCGCATAATGGCCGAACCGGCGCCTCGCCACCTCACTCACCTCACCACCACACTCACCTCACTCACCACACTCACCTCACTCACCTCACCACCACCTCACTCCCCTCACCACCACCTCACTCCCCTCATACCTCGCCTCACCACCACCTCACTCCCCTCACCACCTCACTCACCTCAACCACCACCTCACTTCCCTCATACCTCGCATCACCACCACCTCACTCCCCTCGCCATCTCACTCCCCTCACCACCACCTCACTCCCCGCGCCATCTCACTCCCCTCACCACCTCGCTCACCTCACCTCCTCGCTCACCTCACTTAGCTCACCACCTCGCCTCACCACCACCTCACTCCCCTCGCCATCTCACTCACCTCGTCACCTAACTCCCCTCATCACCGCCTCACCACCTCGCACACCTCATCGCTCACCTCACCATCTCGCTACCTCCTCACTCACCTCACCACCTCGCCTCACCACCACCTCACTCACCGCGTCACCTCACTTCCCTCACCACCGCCTCGCTCCCCTCACCACCTCGCTCACCTCCTCACTCACCTCGTCACCACCTCACTCCCCTCGCCACCTCACTCGCTTCACTTATAGCATCTTACACCATCCCTCATCTCACTACCCCATACCTCTTTACTCACCTCCGCATCGCCTTCCCTCACCTCACCAAATCGCCCCTCGCTCCCTAATAACTCTCAACGGCACCTCATTGTTGAAACCTCAACTCACTTCATCTAACACATCACAACACCTCTTCGATCACAGCTCGCCTGTCTTCATGTGCCCCATTGTTCCTCATCAGCTCTTAACCCATTTACAAGCCGCACGATCCACTCCCCACACCACCGCTTGACACCTCTTCCTCGCACCCAACGCCCATACCACCTCACTGCTCACACCACCTCACTGCTCACACCACCTCACCTTGACAACACCTCACCTTGACACCACCTCACTGCTCACACCACCTCACTGCTCACACCACCTCACTGCTCACACCACCTCACCTTGACACCACCTCACCTTGACACCACCTCACTGCTCACATCACCTCACTGCTCACACCACCTCACTGCTCACACCACCTCACCTTGACACCACCTCACTGCTCACACCACCTCACTGCTCACACCACCTCACTGCTCACACCACCTCACCTTGACACCACCTCACTGCTCACACCACCTCACTGCTCACACCACCTCACTCCCCACACCACCTCACTCCCCACACCACCTCACTCCCACACCACCTCACTGCTCACACCACCTCACTCCCCACACCACCTCACTCCCACACCACCTCACTGCTCACACCACCTCACCTTGACACCACCTCACTGCTCACACCACCTCACTGCTCACACCACCTCACTCCCCACACCACCTCACTGCTCACACCACCTCACTGCTCACACCACCTCACTGCTCACACCACCTCACTCCCCACACCACCTCACTCCCGACACCACCTCACTCCCCACACCACCTCACTCCCCACACCACCTCACTCCCCACACCACCTCACTCCCCACACCACCTCACTCCCCACACCACCTCACTCCCCACACCACCTCACTCCCCACACCACCTCACTCCCACACCACCTCACTGCTCACACCACCTCACCTTGACACCACCTCACTGCTCACACCACCTCACTGCTCACACCACCTCACTCCCCACACCACCTCACTCCCCACACCACCTCACTCCCACACCACCTCACTGCTCACACCACCTCACCTTGACACCACCTCACTGCTCACACCACCTCACTGCTCACACCACCTCACTGCTCACACCACCTCACTCCCCACACCACCTCACTCCCCACACCACCTCACTCCCCACACCACCTCACTCCCCACACCACCTCACTCCCCACACCACCTCACTCCCCACACCACCTCACTCCCCACACCACCTCACTGCTCACACCACCTCACTGCTCACACCACCTCACTGCTCACACCACCTCACTGCTCACACCACCTCACTGCTCACACCACCTCACTGCTCACACCACCTCACTGCTCACACCACCTCACTCCCCACACCACCTCACTGCTCACACCACCTCACTCCCCACACCACCTCACTCCCCACACCACCTCACTCCCCATACCGCCTCACTCCCCACACCACCTCACTGCTCACACCACCTCACTCCCCACACCACCTCACTGCTCACACCACCTCACTCCCTACACCACCTCACTGCTCACACCACCTCACTCCCCACACCACCTCACTCCCCATACCGCCTCACTCCCCACACCACCTCACTGCTCACACCACCTCACTCCCCACACCACCTCACTGCTCACACCACCTCACTCCCTACACCACCTCACTGCTCACACCACCTCACTCCCCACACCACCTCACTCCCCATACCGCCTCACTCCCCACACCACCTCACTGCTCACACCACTTCATACCTCTTCACTGCTCTCATCACTCTGCACCTATGTATGTACACCTCCTCACGCTTGACACTACTACCCCAAAACTCTGAACACCCATTAAGCCCACACCACAAAACCGTGCCTGTGCGTGACTTGAGCCAATACACTGTGCACGTATATTACTTACTGCATCAATTATTTAGATAATCACTACGCTGCACAGGATAACTTACTGGACAGATCTTGTTGCTTAGCAATGTTTTGAGCATAAACTTTAGCATTTGCTGCGGTACAAATTGGCACACTCTGGGCACACACGTGTACCTATGTCGTAGTCTGGGCCGGCCATAAACAATATTCACCTTTTACTGGGCATACACTTCGGACTGGTGAGCCATGCAATAAGCATGCACTAAGCATGGCTCACTGTAAATCCCTTACTGTATACATGGCACACAAGAATTAGCGACGTACCACTTTACTTATGGTACTGCGCATACCACGTAAATGTACAAAGTATCGTCAATTAAAATCCCAACCACACCCACACGGCATGGGGAGGCCTTCATCCAGCAGTGGAGTGACAAAGGGCTGCATGTGTACACCGTGCATTTAGCGTGTCTGCAGCTTGATGTGTACATCATTCATTGGCCTCGGTTTACTGCATTAGCCAAGCGCTGGAAATTTACATGAACCGCAGCATTAAGAGCTCTCAGAGATGGAGGCCGAGCCTGCCCTTGACCTTTAAGCTGCGTGTTCATCAGTAAGTGGCTGTGCACGTTATTACTTGCGTCCAGCGTTAAGCGACTGTGTACATTACCTCATGGGTCCAGCATTCCACATGGGTCCATCACTGGTGGAGGCCTCCTAATGCCTGCTTTACGCATTGAGTGACATTACAAAATGTGGGCGATATCAGATGATGATCACGACAACTTTAGTGGTTGGCCATTTGAGCCTTGTATATCCCGAGTCTCTTGCAGCCACTTGAATGGAACCCTTCAGCACTGTGACCCGTAGCTGCTAAAGAGGTGCATGCTGCTAGGCCACATCAAGCACCTGTGTTTAGTTTAATCTGCATGAACGTGTTTTGTGTCCACAAGGCAACCTGGGGTCTTGTCAGGGCCCTGTCAGTCTTCTGAACCCCCACGCGGTGAGTCTGGTTTATGGCAGAATGCCATAGTGTTGTCTGGTTCTTACAAATTGACTAAAGTGTGCCCCTTTTCCCCCTCTCTCTCCCATGTGCTCGTCGGAAACTTGTCGTGGAAACAGAGCTACCAGCGGAAGAAGGTAATTACCGCATACTGCGTGATTACCTCGCGGAGCGTACACATTGTATATTTGCAAATCACAATTGCAAGCGAAATAGAATTACTATCCGCTGCCCACTGTGTTGCGTGCTCGCGTAGGTAATGTGCGTACATTATACCGTCTTGCTATAATGGACGAAGAAGCTCTTACAATAATTAATGCCGAGTCATCGACGTACAGTATACATAGAAAAAAAGCAATTGCTTGAGGTCTGCAAGGATAATTTAATTACTCGCCCTTTTAGACTGATGTTCCCTGTATATTTTTATCAGCATCTTTGTTATAAGTCCAGCTACTACAACGGCCCTTCCTGCATGTGAACGTTCGATGTTAATGGGTTGATGCGATGCTCTACTTGGGCTACTTTTCCCATGGTGTTAAATCAACTGCATTTGAACATGCCAAATACGTTTTCACTCGCAAGACTCTTAAATCCAGCCTGCGGGGTAACTTTGTGTAATTGTCCATAATGCAGGTTTTTTTTTGGGTTACATCGCGTAAATAGCATAACTATAGCATTTACTGCTGTGCAGCTTGGCACACACCAGGCAAGTATGTACATACGCCGAAGTCTGGGCTGGCCATAACCAATATTCATATTTTACTGGGCATTCACTTCGGACTGGTGAGCCATGCAATAAGCCAAAAAACCTGTATTATGGATGATATTGGTCGCGAAAGCCTACATGTTTTGGATAATTGTAGTCATAGTCCTTTAGTACATTTTGGTATTCGCACCATTACAGAGCAAGGCCCTCGCAAAGGTGTGACGTTTTGCATATAAGTATGGTCTTCCTGTGGGGGGTAATGTAACTCTTTGGTTTTACCCAGTTAAGTAATTTGCGAGTTAATAATTAAAATTCTAACCGTGACACTGTGGCATATTGCCGTTTTTATTAATAACATCACAGAATCTTGAATGTTCACCGTGAAGCGGACTGGTTAACACGACTCGCAGCTTTAACCAGAGTGACCACAGGGCACGAATTGGGAACCTCTGCAAACGTACTGCCGCTCGCCCACGCGATCGCCCGCAGTTGCATTTTCTTTTGAGATGCGGAGTGCATGTGCGGTGGCCCCGCGTGCGGAATCGCACGCTGATGTGATTGTGATGTTGGTTTGCCCTGACAGGCAAGTCCCTCTGGGAACTCGTGATGGAGCAGTTTGAGGACCTCCTGGTCAGAATCTTGCTTCTGGCGGCCTGCATATCCTTTGTGAGTATTTTTGGGCACTGGCGGTGTGGGTGGTTATCGAAAGTGCGTTGGTGGGATTAGTCCAACCCTGAAGTACGGCCCGTGATGCTACAGGACCAGGTGTGGGGGTGGAGCTATTTGCCAATCTAAGAACAGCACGGTCGGAGTGTGTGACGTTTGGCACGTGTCTACCCTCACCTCGCACTCACTGTGAGGACGCCCTTGGCACGACGCACCGGAGGCATGTACGGTTGCCATTTTGAGTCGCGCTTTTGATGTGGTTATTGTTACACAACCACCTGTCAATTGCTCACTCGTCCCCCTCGTTCAGCAGCTGCTGTTCCAGGTTCGTCGCTTTTGTGTCTTTTTTTTTTGCGCTGAACTTTGAACCGCAGCGAGCGGGGGACTGCGAGTGCCGGGGTGCTTCTGGCAGAATTGGTGGCGGCGTTTGGCTTGCAACCCTCCGCTCACTTAAAAGTTCCAAACCATATTAGGACATTGACCTTCATACAGCTAGACATATTTATAACTGTCCTTGATCCACAGTGGTGGGCTTTAAAAGACTCTTGTGGCAAGTGTTGCTGTCCAAAGGTATTGATCTGGAGTTTAAAAGGCGACCACTGCCTGCTGTTCTCGCGTCGCTGTTTTGGAAAAAGCGCGCTGGTGACGTTCGTGAACCCTCTTAAAGTGGTGATATTATTATATATATTATTGCTACTTGTAGTTTTCAACAGTAATTCCTTTCTGCCGAACCATTCAAAATTGCAAACGTACATCGAGTCTACGCTATTTATAGATGAATGCGCGCAAGTGAGCGCGTAGGTGGTGTACGAGTGTACGCTCGTGAGCGGCAAGACTAAATGGGCCAGTTCTTAGGCGCATCCACGGCAAAAATCATTGGCTTCTTCTCTGCGGTCATTCATATCGACGACACGGGCACTGCAGCATGTACAGTTGTGCGTTATCCTTTCTCACGTGGCGCGCGGACACAAAGGGCAGGCAATGACGCGCCGCCCGGCTGCTGTCTCTTGATATGGTTTGAGCGGCGGATGGGCAGTGATGGACAGATGCGCGCCGGGGGTAATGGGCGAGTGCCCGGGTCGAACCCGTTGATCCCTGCTTATGTAGACGGCCAAGCGTTGTACAAACTGTGGGCTCGGGTGTCCATGCCGCTCATGCCAAACTTGACGCGAGGAGGACACATGGGAAATGGAGGCATGGCAGCACTTGCTAGCCCGCTCGCTCACCCTGGCCTGCAGCTGTTACTTACCGACGGAGGGTGATGTGTGGGACGGGCAAGAGGTGATGCGTGAAGAGGGGGGGGGGGGGGCTGTTAGGTTTGGGGGATTAATGTGCATGGTTGGCAGGGTGGGTGTGCAGGGGGAATGAAGTTGCTCCAGGATGCTGGCAGCTTGTGCTTTTGTACTGTGGACGGACAAGTCCTTTTCACGTGTAAAGTGGTCAGAAGCCCAGCTAGTTACTGTGTACAATGAGTGAAAGTTGCAAACGTACTTATTAACTTGGTTCTTGTGGGTGGTGTGGGTGTTGGTTCTTGTGGTGGGGGGGGGGGTGGGGGCTACTTCCCTTTTGCACAAGACATGCCAAGGCCAAGCAGAAAAAGTTGCATAGTATGCTTACACAAACAATCATTACATAACAAGTTTAAATAATTAAATATGTGGATTACATATGTATACAGTAATCATCAACCCCCTTTTTGTTATCTCGTGCCAAACAAAAAAAAGGATCCACTAAGCTGGAGTGTTGTATTACATTTCTGTTTCGTGTGTTTCCACAACTTTGTAGTTTCGGAAGTGGTAAATGCTTTTTGTGCTCTTATAAGTCCTATTAGTCGGAGTGTCTGGAATGAGCTTCCCTTACAGCTGTTTTGCGTGCGAGCGCTCGTGTGCTTCATGTACAACCTCGTGAGAGTCCGTTGAGGCTAAATGTCTCTGTCTGGGAAGAACTGGATTAAAAGTAATTACAGCGGAGATGCACAGACATAAACGATTACTAATAAAACCGTCCAGAAGAACATCGTGAGCAAAAGCAGATGTAAATTGTCCCAACAGAAATATTATGGTTGTGAAATGAGCTTATTACGAGGTCAAGGATGTGTGAATGTTTAATTCAAGATAATTAATGCCAAAACACTTGCATTCACACTGACCAAATAATCAAGCCCTTATTGAAAACTTGGTTTCACAATACTTTATCAACTCCACAGGCGCAATATTATTCCACGTGCGAGTACTGTCTCATGCATGAAGGGGAGTTTGTATTTGCATGTATTTGTGTGGACAGTGCACGTATTCCACAATACCCGACCGTGAGAGTCTCGCATTTAGTTCCGGGCATGTAATGACGCATGGGTTAACCAAGCAAAATATAGCGTCGTTCACGCGGTGCGTGCGTTGAAACGTGCGTGTCGAGTATTTACGATCGATGCAAAATTCACGCAAATTTTATTTTTGCTACGGTTAGGCTAAAAGATTCTAACAAAACTCGACAATTTGGGACTTAACTGCATTGAGAAGCGACAGCTGATATTGTTTCTCTTTTTTTCTCACTGTGTAAAGTTGATACTAATAATGGTCGATTCTTTAATAGACTGGTGACCCTGAATTAGGAAAAATGTTAATTTGCTGGAGGAGTGACATTTTAAAGGCCTACTGTGTCATGCATGATTTGGGTTGATCCTGTGATATGTTGCTTTGTGTTGTTGTTAAAGCACATTGTACTGCTGCTGGAACTCCCTTTCCGCAGCCATTTGTGGCATAGCCTTGCCACCACAGTTCGTAGTCCACACTTTAAGGCCTGTTTTTGTCCCTGCCTATAACTGACTGCCATGTATAAACACCCTGCATGCTGTCTCTGTGCAGGGATGTGGTAACATTTTAGACTCGATATAAATCCGCATCGTGCTGTTGCGTTGTCCTCCTGCGCACTGATGCGTGATGTTCGCTGTGGCGTCGGTCGCTTTAGGTGCTCGCGTGGTTCGAAGAAGGCGAGGAAACCATCACGGCTTTTGTCGAGCCCTTCGTCATCCTCCTCATCCTCATCGCCAACGCCGTCGTCGGAGTCTGGCAGGTACTCGTCTCTCCTCGTCGGAACGCGGTGAACTCGCGTCGACGACTCCGGTTTACGTAACGCCGCTGCCCCTGTGCATGACCTCCGCCGGCCAACACGAGTACACGCGAACTTGGCTCCAACTTGTGCATTTTTTATTTTTGCGTTGCGGCTCCTCGTACAATGTCATGGAAAAATGTTGTGAGCCTAAATATACGTCCCTTCCGCAGGGCACGCGAGTGTTTATTTTACGGGGGTTAATTCGGTATGGGAGCGGCACCAGTGGAGCAGGCTTGGCACGGCACCGCTCCGTGAAGCTACTGTGCGGACGGTCCGGCACGGCAGCGGACGTTTAAGCCGGGCTCTGATGCACGGCCATCGGCAGCTGTAAAACAACACGAAAAAATTGCACCATGCTTTCCAACGTGCGTTTTGCCCTCGCAAGTATTCCGTTAGCGATTAATAATGTTACCTTCTGTTCTACCAATGAGATGATGCTGCACGGCACGCGACGTCCCGAAGCGTCGTTGCGCGTGATGACATCAGGAACGAGGGCGTGGCGCAGGCGTGACGCGTGAGGTCGTCGCCTTGGCCGAAAAGACATGTTCATTATTATTGAAACATTTTGGGGCAATCCTTTGCTTCGTTTGACCAGTTTTCATATCCTGAAAGTCCCCAATAGCAACACAACTTGGACGGAAATGTTGATATTGGATCATCTTTACGAGAGTTATTGTTAACCACGCATTCTGGGCGGACGGACAGACGGAAAAGAGTGAACAAGTTAACGCATTCAACCTTAGTTGGAGCGCGTAAAAGAAACATTTTGCGTCTGTTGGTGGCAACCTGCAGCCTCGTCGCAAGCGTGGCTTCGCGCTGGTCCGGTGGTGCCACAACAACAACCGGGGGTAGGAGTTCTGAAGCCTTTTGACATTCCTGGCTCGTGTCAATGATGCGGCAAGTAGAGGGCGACAGGCCTTCGTGCTTGGCAGGGCAGGGCAGCCGTTTCCTCGGAAACGGCAGGGGGTAGCAATTATTGTTATTTAGCGTACGCGCTGGGGTGGTTGCGCCTTTTTAGAATTGCGGAAAAGGGGCCAAAAATAACAGTCGTGCATTAAGCTCATCTGTCGTTTCTTAGTCCGTGTAGGGAAGCGGGGTGCTCGGCTTAGCTCGTTTCGCGTGGGAAATTGCTCGGAAAAATAACCATCCTCGTGTTTGATGTACATGAACTGTGTAATCATGTACCTCGACTCGTGTTGTTTGCGTGGTTTTCAATGGGTCGCTGTAGTCTCGGCAGTATTTAGCTTAAAAGTTTGTCGCTCACGAGGAAGCAATCTTTTTCGTGCACTGCTAAATATACGATGAAATGTGTGCTGCTTGTGGCCTCTTAAAGCCATTAATGCCCATCACTGAGCATCATACGGTGCGACAGTCGGCCGCCCATCCTACTGTCGGCGCTGTGCTGATGCAGAGCATTTATAAGCCCCCTCCCACTGATGCGCTGCCCAGCTTGTTATATGTTTTTCATTTACAGAATTATTCAGTTCCACGCACAGTCTTCTACCAAAAGTTATAAAAGCTCTGCTGGCCTTTTCTTTGCCAGCAGCGCTCCGTGTGCGTACCTCGTGGCGTTCCTGCCGTTGGTGCCCAATCAAACGTACGGCCGTGTGCTTGCTCCCGGTCTTGGAGTACAAAAATAACCGGTACTGATGCGGCAGCTATCGTACGTCCTCTTGCACGAGGACAAATATTGATCTCGCCGTGTGTGCTTTAGGCGTCGGTTTGTCCACGTCACTATGCCTTTGCTGCTGTGGCGCACACATGACGTGCAGGAGTAGCTGGCGCCAGGTAATTATAACCCGGCGGCCGGCTGCTTATTTTTAGAATTGTAATTTGGCGCTCTCCGAGTTACAATGGCCTAGTGAGAACTCAGAATTCCGAAATATGCTGACGCAGTACGCTCTGCTATAATAAGTACATCTGTGTAATTGACGACAGATTACCTCACAGTTGTCGCTGGTGATGTTGCCCGTGTGTAACGTCCACAGGAGAGAAATGCGGAAAATGCGATCGAAGCGCTCAAGGAGTACGAGCCGGAGATGGGCAAGGTGTACCGGCAGGACAGGACGTCCGTGCAGAGGATCAAGGCCCGTGAGATCGTGCCCGGAGACATTGTCGAGGTGGCAGGTGGGTGGTCACACGTGGTGGCAACTGCAAAATGTGGGGGGGTGCGGGTGGCTGGTGGGTCGCGTGTGCGTCTGTCTGCACGCTTTGTAACCTTGCGTCGAGCGTGCGGTGCGGGGAAACGTGGGTCCGCTATCCCGTGGCATTTATTTATCCAGAAAAGTTCTGAAGGCTTTTTTTCAGGTGGGGGTCCTACATTGGGATGTTTGGCCATTTCCTTGTTTAGGAGTGCTTTGTGTGTGAAAGGAAACTGGAGTTCCCAAAGCAAATTCAGGCCTACAATGGGATTCTACTCTCTAGCACCCACAGATGGGTTTACGAACCAAGTTACTGTAGTACCTACAGTCTAACAGGTTTGCGAGTTAAAAAATCTACACGCGATCCACCAACCCTTGCCTCCAATTGTTGGATCACACGTGTGCACCACCGTGCTTCCACGTCAATGTTTGCAGATTTTATTTTTCCTCCCCCCACCCCCCCGGAACGGACGCTTGGTCACAACGCTGAGTATGACGCATGGCAACGTAGATGCACGGCACTCGAGTCGTTAGTGTATGGGTTCTCGGGGGGGGGGCGGGGGGGGGGGGCGGCTGCGTAGCTAGGGGACATGTCTTTAATCCGCTCGGAGCTTTTGCTACCGGAACCAAATTGAAGCATTGCGATATACCAGAAGCTGTGCCTCGCGAAGGTGCGAGCGTTTTAATTTAGCGCCGATATTGGGGTAAACCTGTAATGCGTGAAAAAGTGTGGCCCCCCTTCTGTCAAGGAGATTTGAAATTCTTGCTATAAAATAAATATTCTCCTGACATGAGCATTAATCACGCCCCTCGTGTTCGCTCGTACTCTCCTGGGTTCAAGCGAGGAGTGGGTGTGAGTAGTCTGCTGACGTGACTGATAGCTTTTGCATGCAGAGCGGGGGGGGGGGGGGGGGGGGGAGCTCTTTCAATTTTCTTGCAGTGCATCTGTGGACCGGGGCAGAGTGTTTAATCAATGCTATTGATCACCCTGCATTACCAGACGTTGCAAAGCGGCAGCTTCGTCGCTATTGTGCGCCGCCGTAAATGCGCTCTCGCGTTTTCAATCGGGGCGATTGAATATTTTTTTAGATGCAGGCGGTGAAAAATCGGTGTGGGGAAAAATTCACGGGGAGCTGCTGCTGCACCACCTCCCTACGGCCGACTTGGCTGCCTGTCCTTCGAATTGTCGCTGGATGCATTCCCCCCCACCCCCACCCAATGTTTTGTACACAGGCTGATGAGGTTGAATTTTAAAAATGGTGATTTTTCACTCGCTTGTCAATCCACTGCTGGATGAAGACCCCCCCCACCCTTTAGTACTGCTACAAATTGAAACCCGTGTCACGCCCACGATGATTCGAGGCAGAACAAAAAACCAAAACTTGTTGGCAGCCCTCAACAATTTGTAACATTACACGATTGCCGTTGTCGAGATTGACTAACGCGCTGCAGGAGCTGCAGTGTTAAGGGTAAAAAAACAGACGAATGGGACGCGTGGTGGCAAACATTTGTATTGTATCAGAGTTCAAGTACAGCAGGTGCTGCGCCGGGCCGTTATGCATGACCAGCTGTAAATCCACGACGTGCTGTATTTGTTTTCGTGCTGCTGGTTGGTATTCTGGCGTTAGATCGGGCGCATCTCTGCGCAGCTCCAAGTATAGATGAGGATTTACGACTCGAGGAGACGTCGGCTTCTTTTAAAAGTAAACTGCAACATAGCTGTCGGTCCTTGGGGATTAAGGAGGAGATGACACCCCCCACTGCCCCCACTGGTCTCCCCAAGCCGTGGAAAAGTTGGCCACCCCTGGCAGGCGTGTGGTGGGAGGAGAGCCGATTGATTCCTGCGGCTTGTGAAAGTGTCGAGTGCCTCCTGCCCACCTGCTCCTGCCATTCGTAAAAATAACCTGAGGTTGGGTTCCTGGCGCGTGTGTGTGTTTGGAAGTGGTTATGTGTGTGCACATAGGGGAGTGCGTGTGTATAAAGTGTAAACAAGCCTTTATTATGAGTCCCATGTGATTGTGTAAGTTATTAATCGGCTCCTATTGAGGCTTTGTAGGGTCTTAAGCTCTAATGATGATAACCAAATGAACACGAGTGCTTGATTATTTATAAACGATCGTCACCTAATACGTGTGTGCTTTAACGTTTCATTAGTGGCCTTGTCATTCCTTTGGACACCTAAGGGCACGTACTCGAGCATTTCAATGTCATTTTTAAAATGTAAGAATAATTGCCGTTGTAAGGCCACATGACCATTTCTTCTCCATCATATTACACGTGAAACATTCTCTCTACGTATTTGGCAAGCTGCCTTTAATGCAATTCTAATATTTAAAGCTCATATATCTCTCTCATGCTGGAAATACAGTCGAGTCTTGCACGCAGAGATGAGGACAGTTGCATTGGTTTTTGTGTGCCAAATCAAATGACATTCAATACTAGTTTTGGGAAACTGTCGATGAGGATTTTTTAAAAATGTTACTCTACACTTACTATGCAAATTATTTGCTCAAGACGTGAGCACAATCACATATAAAAAACAAAAAAATACACATTGAATAACAATGATCAAGTGACACATTGATCAATATGTCATAACAATGTTATACGATTTGCCTTCAAAGAAAAAATATATCATGGCAATGGTCCCTTTCTCGGCATGCAAAAATGTATCTTTTGTTATTGTCAGTTAAACAGCATATTCTTGCCATGCAGACGCAAATTACATTAAACTATTGCACATGTACAGCCCGTAGCAATTTGATGGCCTCCACACTATATATATGTAGATCATGAAGGTTTTTGACTCCACTTCACCGGGCAGCGCAGGATGGCGGTGTGGTGCTTAGACGTTGGGGAATTACATTGCAGCAGGACGACGGATTTTTGCTGCACTGCAGTCTTGCTCTCAATGCATTATAATATCTAGATTGTGTTGTGGCCCGACTGCCTTCAACGGAGAATGCTTCCTCTCGGCGCTGCTGGCGGCTGGGTGTGCGTACGCGCGCGGCGACGGCGCGTGTCCCGCGGCGGGGTCCCTACGCTGGCTGAAGAGTGCGCGGCCCGCGAGATAGCTGGCCATGTAGGGAAGATGGACGGCAGGCGTGAGAGCACTCTGCTGATTGCGTTCCCACCCTGCAATTCCCCCCCCCCGCTACCACCACCACTGCCGCCCCCCCCCCCCAAATTGACACTCTTGCATACTGTCGCGCACGCACGTACACAAGCACATGTTCCTGTCTTGCTTGCCCGGCAGCCTCGCTTATAAAATGCCGTGGCGAGGCCAGAGAATGGTAACGGTTCTCTCTGGCAATTGTCTCTTGTCACTTACTTTGCCCCGGGGGACCGGATTGCATTTGCAATGGGGATGAGTGGCAGGCGAGGGGGAGGGGGGTAGTGATAGCCGCGCCATTTGTTTTGGCGTAAGCTGTTAGGACTTTGCCCGGCGTGACTGGGGACACTTAAAAAGAGCTTGACAGCCCGAGTCAAACCGTGTTAGAACAGTGGTTTAAGAACGCGTTATCGCACTTGCCAGTGGGCCCCCTCCTACGTACAGCGGCAAGCTAACCCTGTGCTCGGTAAAAAACTCTCATGACCCGTCATAAACGTAAGCCCCTCGTAAAAAAGTAAATCTGCATAATGAGGATGCGCACCAACGGCTCTGTGTGTGGGTGTATATGGATATCAATTGACAATAGTGAATGTTAATGCGGTGTTATATTACTGCAATTGCTGTCTAAACATTACATCGCCACCAAGTGCTTTCCCAAAAAACGCTTTTGGATATTGGCTGGGATGCCACTGCGTGATTTACGACCTCGCTCGCGTTCGGCGGTCGCGGGGCACAAGGGGGGGAGGGGAGGGGCCTTCGTGTACCTCTTTTGCGGTTTTCTTTCATTTTTAACAAACCGATCTTTCAATTTCCTGTGCTTGCTTTCTAAAATAATTACTTTTATTTTTTTACACTCTGAAGCCTGGGTAAGGAGCTTGGTGGTGTGGTGATGTAGGTTTTCCCATTGTCGGCGTTTCGTCTAATACCATCAAAGTGACCTTGGCCCGGCGATCTTTTTTTTTGGGGGGTGCCCGAGTGGGGGGACACGCACGCACGGCATGTGAACACGAGGCCCCCAGCGCACCAGCCGAGCGCTGCCCGCGGCCCCTTCCTTGCGCCGCCGGGGCCCGCGGACACGATGTTCCCTCCTGTGGTGGGGTAGGGTGGGAATAGTGGGAATTCTCCGCTTTAATAAGTGAGGCACTGTGTTCCCAACGTGGCGTCGCATTTCGAAATAACATTGGTCGTTGGGATAAAGTGTACTGAATTAGCGCCATGGTGATTGCATCGTCTGAGCATCACAACAGAGTTAAAATTACCCGGTGAGCGTTTGGTTTTGTCAGTCCTCTATCACCTGCCCCCACCCCGGTCCCTCCTTTAGAACGCCGTTATCATGGCCGCATGGCAACTTTCGTCGTAATCAAATCTGAATGCAACCAGTGGTGTGCATGGCGCCTCCCGGCCACATGGCCGGGCCTTTCTCGGGTCGAGGAACTTCAAATAGCCTTGCTTGCCTGGAGCCGGCTGAAGTCGTTCACTTCGTTCAAACATGATCGTATCTCTTGGTCCCGGTATTAATGTTGCTGATAAACAAAGGCATTTCTTGAAAAACATTCTCAGAAGGACTTGTAAACAGTCCAAACTCCGTGAGCGTGTTTTACGGGCGCTCTTCGTGGTACGCTGTAAATTTACGGACCGGCGGTTCCGAAAAAAGGGGATTGTGTTTCTCGCACCGGGTTGACGTGACGCGTGCAAGCGCCGGTAAATACGGCGGGCGTTTGCTTTGACCCCCCCCGCGCGTGTCCGCTCCGTGCAGCTCGCGCTCCGTTATTGGCTCGAGTTGACGAAGTTCCCCACCGCTACTGATTGAGCTGTGGAGACCAGCTGTTTGGCAGGCTTCTACGGTCGTGTGTGTCCACGTCCCCCCTTGCCAGCCTTGGGTCCCAGCGCTCATAGCTTGTCCTTATTTGGTGGCACGGATTTTAGGGGGCACCCTCCCCCGTTGGCCCTCTGACGCACGACTCTGCTGCCACGCTTCTCCCCACGCTGCCTTCGAGGTCTCTCGGGGACCTGTGACCGATTGTTTAAAAAAAAAAAGGCAGCGTTTAAAGCTTAAAGAGTCGAAATGTCCGCTCGTGGCCATGTGCACCCATTAACTGCTCACGTGCCTGATAATTTACCCGGTGCGCGGTGATCCTGATGATAATGTGTGCATCTGTCGTCCTGCGTCTTCTCCCTTGTCTTGCAGTGGGAGATAAAGTGCCAGCCGACATCAGGCTCACGTCCATCAAGTCCACCACCCTGAGGGTCGACCAGTCCATCCTCACCGGTGAATGGTGGAGGGGGGGGTGGTTGTTTCATAAGGAAGAAGATAATGTTTGTGATTGCGTGGAGGCAAAAGGAAGCAGACACGAGTGCAACCCCAGTGCGCAGCTGAAAACCGACGGAACGTTTCCTTGGAAAAGATTTATTTAATGGACCGTTAAAAGGCACGGTTGTATTGTGGATGCGATCTGGAGGCGCTGCTGGCGAGTGAGTTTAAGAACCGTTTTTAGCATACATTTTTTTTCCCCGTTTCCATGACCAAGTTTGGGTTCGTTCAAGTAGCCGGTGGTACTTTTCGGAAAGGGGGCAGCTTGGGGTTTGTGTCATCCGGCGCTGCAAGATGGCGACACGAGACGTCTACAGTTTGCCGCGCGAGGATCGGCGCTGCGATGCTCGCGTGGCTTCGCGGGGCCCTTTGCCATGTGCCTGTCGGCACGAGGCCCACACTCGCTCACGCGGCGTGCTGAGTGTGCGTACGGGTACAGTGGCGGCTCTGTCACTTAGTTGGCATCGCTAACGATGCAACCTGGCAAGAGAACGTTTTGTTCTGCGAGCTATTATTAACGCCGGCGACATGATTTACATCTTGAGGAAATGGGACTACAGTGTTGATGGTGTCAAATTGACACTCGTTTGCCCAGTGAGCCGAGTAAGATGAAAGTGAATTGAAATCATCCGATTTTAAAACCTATTTCGGCAAGGTTCCTTTTTAAATGTAGGGCATACAAATGAGATCTTTAAAAATGTAGTGTACATGGCAAGCACTTCTAAAATAATGTTTAAAAAAATAATCCCTTTTGCTTCTCACTTCTCTGTAATTGAAGTGCTCATCCCTAATGCAGGCAGCACTCGTGAGCAGCTCTTAACGCTCTGGTGGTGTCCAGTTACGGTGAATGAATGGGCCATGCATCTCGTATACCAAGTACAATAATGCCAGCTATTTACCCACAAAAGCCTTGGCGAGTCTCGGGGTAATTCAGGAAGGTCCTGCTACATTGGGATGTTTGACCGAGTCCATTAAGCAAGGCAGAGTTCCCCAGTAAAATATTGTGGAGGGCCACCACATCAGAAACCTGTGATTTTTTTTTGTCGGGCTATAGCTGGCCCCCATATATTGGAGCTTCGGAAACATCCGTACCATGATTCTTGCATCGCCTTGCAGCTGTTGTGTCCGATGGTTGCAAGAGACTGATCTCTTTCAGTACTTTGTTCTTTATTTGGAAATTTAGTGAACAGAAGGTTAGCAGATTCAATGGAGCATTCCGTTACAATTTCCGTGTCACCCTCAGCCTCCTTGTGTTTCTCAAAAAGAGGCTTCGGTAACTACAGAGATTCCTGCTCGGTTGCCGGAGCTAACAACTGCTTCTGGTATTCCAGGCAAGGTTTCAGTTTCTTTAAAGTGTTCTTCTCTAATTGTAGCTCCTGTCGGAAGGCGTTCTGGATAATCGCTGTGCACATGTAAAATGCCTTCTCCAGATTGCTCCGTTTCATGGCTGACATTGCTTTCTGGCAAAGCAAACAGATGGGGGTATTAGCTAACTCGGTAAAGAAAATCCATAAAATGAGGAACACTGCTTTAACGGGTGTTTCGCTTAATTTGCGAGACAAACGCCACTAAATTTGCAACGTGAGGGTGGTAACACTAAAAGCTGCACAAAGGTCTATTCAATAATCCATTGCCATATCTTAGTTAATTCACAGCCCTATGGCGTTTGGAAAACCCTGGTGGTCACTGATCTCGGCACTAACCAGGATGAGGAGACCTGCTCATATTCTAAGATTTGACAAGGTCCGGAACATTCGGTGAGCTTACCTGTCTTTGCGTTCACCCGGCCTCTGTTCACAGGCGAGTCCGTGTCGGTGATCAAGCACACGGACCCCGTACCAGACCCCAGAGCGGTCAACCAGGACAAGAAGAACATGCTTTTCTCTGTAAGTCAGACTTCTCCGCTTTGGTCAACAGTGCCCCCGCGATGGAAAATGGGTCGCTCATGCGTTTGCTTCATTCATTACCAGGTGGTGAAGTATGGTCAAACAACGCTTGTGATCTACACGGTGTGGGGTGGGGATAGGCCTTTTGTACAGCGGTGTATTGAACAAGGGTTGCACATTTCATCTTGGTAAAAAACATTCTACATTTCCATTGAACTATATCTAAAGATTGTTTTTTTTAGTATCACCCTGGCAACTCGTTAGGCGGGCAGGTGGAGCTGCAGTGTTGCTCAAGAATACAGTGAGGGGGGGAACCTGATCCCCACCTGTCATTGTCGTGCTGCGTGAGCGGGTGACCTCGTTATCCAGCACGCCCGTCGTCATCGCTGTGATCCGTAGAGCAAACAGAATAACACAAGAAGCACACACTTTATTATTATCATAATCATCGTGCCCCTGCGCTTTCCCCTTCTCATTTCCTCTGCTGCGGTGTTGCTGATGTGACTGTTGCATGCCAATGTTTGGTTTTTCCGTGACATTAATTCTAATCGTGAGGGCATCATCTACCATGGATCATTAAACAACAAATGCGAGACTCTAAATATTTATTTTTATGAGGACTACTTTTGGGGCATTTGTGTCATCGGTCAATGTGATGTCCCATATTTTGCGATCCGATCCGTGTATTTATCTTCCTGTGTGTGTGTGGAACTCCAGACACGCACCTCACCCTTCCTCTTTCTGCACTCTTCAGTTTTTGTTAAAAAAAAATTTGGTCAGTGTTCAATCCTCGGATTCATGTGATAGTTGGGAATATGTACTGTTGACAACTTATCTAATTAAGAGGGATAGTGATGGCGTGGGGGAGGCGTTCATCCTTTTATCCAGCAGTGGATGGATCATAACTGATGCTTTTGGGTGTTAATACTGGGGTGGAGCAGTGGCACAGTAATTAGCACACTCCCGGCCATCGATCGGTTAACCAGATTGATTGGCCTTTCATGTCTGACCTTTCCTGACCACACGTGTTTTAGTATGGACAAACTAGTCCCATGACCGACACAGCATTGGCAGACTTCCGTCCGTCAGTGGATTGACAAAGCGCTGTAAGTAATTTATCACGCTTGCTCTGGTTACCGGCGTTTTTTGCAACGGGTTAAATAAAAAAATGCGCGCGCTTTGTCTCATGCAGGGAACGAACATCGCGGCAGGCAAGGCGGTGGGCGTGGTGGTGGCGACAGGCGTGAACACGGAGATTGGCAAGATCCGCGACGAGATGGCCGCAACTGAGCAGGACAAGACGCCCCTCCAGCAGAAGCTTGACGAGTTTGGCGAGCAGCTATCCAAGGTGCCGTGCGCACGCACCACGCTTGCGAGTGTGCGAACCTCTTCACGCTCGCGCACACACGTGTACTTTGTTGTAACCACAGGAGCGTTCGCGCACGATCCATGCCATACGAATGCACAGATGCGTATGCCGCCCACGCGCCTGACGATTAGCGCACGCCGTGTGCTCAAGAGGCACATGCAAAACCACCCTAACCACGCCAGCGTGGATAACTACCAACATCGCGCCAACGCGCACACTTTCCGTACAGCAGCAAAGTGCTGAACGCCCACGCGTACAAGCCACCGCTTACACGGGTCAAGCGGGCACGCCCTTAACAAAAATGTAACGAGTTTGAACAGCCCCGGCAGTTTTGGGTATTATATTTGTGAAGGTTATCTTTTTGGAACGATTGAGTACATGTTATCATGCCTTTTCAAATGCTGGTCATCTCTCGTTTAACAGCAGCGGTGTAGAGCTGGGCTATCCGATTATTTTAGTAATTGATTATCAATTATTGGTTTGATTATTCAACAAGATCACACGAACACGTAAAAAAGTCACCTTTTCCCACGTGTGCTGCTCGACGGGAGGTGATGGGGCAGGCCTTTGTGATGTTATAGTCATCAACTGCCACGTCACACCGTGCGTGGCTTCTTGGTGGGTTTCCCACTTTCAGGAGGCAGCTGCTCTTTTAAAAGGGTAGGGGGCCCGAGTGACTGGCGCCAAGGAAAATGAGGCAGATTTTTATTTTATTTTAATTTGTTAATGAGCCAATCGGGCCCAGCTACACACACAGCAGTGGAAATTATCCGGCGCGTCGGTCCGTGCCACTCCACGCTTCCGCAGGTCATCTCACTGATCTGCATCGCCGTGTGGATCATCAACATCGGCCACTTCAACGATCCCGTACACGGCGGCTCGTGGATGCGCGGCGCCATCTACTACTTCAAGATTGCCGTGGCGCTGGCCGTGGCCGCCATCCCCGAGGGCCTCCCGGCCGTCATCACCACTTGCCTGGCGCTGGGCACGCGTCGCATGGCTAAGAAGAATGCCATCGTGCGCAGCCTGCCCTCCGTGGAGACGCTCGGCTGCACCTCGGTCATCTGCTCCGACAAGACGGGCACGCTCACCACCAACCAGATGAGCGTGTGCAGGGTGAGCGAATTGCGAACAGGCCACCGGCTGCGGTGACGCTGCTGCCCCCGGTGAATGAAGGATTACGATTGTTGTTCTCGTATTGTCGTCGTGTGTTGATGAGTGGTGGCGTAGTAGTTATCGCACTGATATCCCAAAGGCATGAGTGAGATTCTTGACCCAGATAAACATGTGTAGTGAGCGGCTTCCGAGACACGTCGTGTAGAAGGCTTATTATTTATTAGGAACACACTGGGCGATACATTTATGTAACGCAGCTACACATAGCCGACCCTATCACGCAACCCCATCGTCGGGGTCCGATTAGCGCAGCGACGGCGACGATGAGAGAGCCTTGCAGAAGATCGGCCACGTGGTCGGACGACGAAGAGCGATGACGGCGAGCAGCGATGCAGCCAGGATCCGCAACAGCACTGAACTTCTCGATATAAGGGGGACCGAACCTCTGGTTCGGTCCCCCTTATATACACCCCAGCGCAGTCAAGCCTGACTCCGCCTTTTCACCTTCACCTCATATACGCCCCCCTCATAATTAGGCATTACGTAATATACCCATTACCACGATTACCCCTTCAGGCTGACAGGTAGCATCCTGTCATTACACATGCATAGGTTAAAAATGCATACATTTCATGAGACGTTTTATTCATTCTGGAGAAATCCGATTACCCCATGAAGCTCTTTTTTACAGATGTCGAGTAGATTTATGATGCAGTGAGTGGGAAAGGGAGATGCAGGTTGTGTTTTGTTTAATCAAATTACGGACAGCTGTCAACACTGTTTATACACACTGTACATGTACATACTGTACATGTACAGTGTGTATACACTATATACAGAGCACACTAATGCTGTTAAGGAGAAATGATAACATTTTTGGAAGTCTTTAACGTACGTATGTTGAACTTCTGTCGCACCATACATAGCCAACCATGCTAGAAGGCCACTTAAATTTGATAGATTTTATTAAGTAATTTCGACCTTTTAAATTAAACTCTGTATATCTACTCGAGTAATCGGTTGAAAATGTAATATGAAAACCTTACGTCACACTGCAACAAATGTGAAATTGTGGCTGTGCCGTCTTGTTTTTGTGATGCGAGGTCCGCGAGCTGCCTCGCTCACCGCCGGGCCTGTGTGTAAACATTGCGTTGCAGATGTTCATCATCGACCGGGCAGATGGCGAGAACTGCAGCCTCAACGAGTTCACCATCACGGGCTCCACCTACGCACCAGAGGGAGAAGTGTAGGTGCCCCAACTCCTCACCGCTGACCTGACCTTGCCACGGATGACCTGGCCCACCACGGTTAACACGGGTCTCCTTAGTTAACACAGGCTGCCAAGATTTAATTGGGTAGCCATGGCGTATCCAGGCTACCCACGGTTAACTCAATCCACTTGGCTACCTGGCTGCAATTGTTTTCTATTGTGATGTGGTTTGAGATAACGTCAGCCTCCATTCATCGACGGTTACAGCATTCTTGTAGCATGCCAATATTTCAATTGCAAATATTACACGTGTACTCAGAAAATACACAATGTTCTTTGTGGGACCGCACCGGCTAACCCAGAAGTGGCGGGGTGTTTATTTATTAAAAATAATACATGTTGTTGAGATTGTGGGCGGCTTAGAATTCCTCGGTGTTTTAAAACATATTCTTATAGATACTTTTTTTAAAATAGATTTTTTTTTTATTAATAAGCTTGGTTCTGCGATGAGTGTTGGGCAAATTGCCCGAACCGGAGATTAGGTATTTGTTCGCATGGAACCTTTGTCTTTAAAAAACGTACACAACGTTTTCGTTTTGACGGTCGGTTTTGCTTTAATGTCCCCGGTGGCGGACGGGTGGTTTTGCAGGTATAAGAATGATAAGCTCGTCCGCTGCGGAGAGTACGACGGGCTGATAGAGCTGGCCACAATCTGCGCGCTCTGCAACGACTCCTCGCTCGACTTCAACGAGGTGCTTGCATCCTCTGGCAGCGCGCACATGCACGCCATCTCAAGGCGGGGGTCCGAAAGCATCGATGTTGAATGAATGATTTCATTAATGTTTTCCCCCCCCCCCATGTATTGTGTATTTTTGACACAACTAGGGCATTAATAGCTTCTGTTTGTGTAGAGCCACGATTTAATTGAACCTGGTATTGACTCCACTCAAGAGTTTCTCCACAGTTTATTAGATGGTGAGGACGGATGAAGCGTAATTTGATGGATTGCTCGCTTCACTTAATTGTGCAACACAACTTTATTAAAATGTCAGATTGGGTGTTTTTCTATTACAGGGGTGGGGGTAGCCTTTTCCTTACCGATGAGTGAATGGGAATTTCAAAATACCATTTGGCGGACCACACATTAACACGCACCATACTGATGCCACGCATTAACACGCACTGTACTGATGCCACACATTAACACGCACCGTATTGATGCCACGCATTAACACGCACCGTACTGATGCGATGGCATGTGCCCGCTTTCCCCTTGCTGACGCGACCTTGGTGTCGGGTCGCAGTTCCAAAGTAGACATGCGGCGAAGATGCTTTCAGTGATGGATAAATATTACATGGTGGCTGTTTAGAATGTGGGAGGCCTCGTGCGTGGCCACTGGCCGTGTAAGATGAAACCACGGTCTGTGGCCCAAACCGCGGGGACCGTAGATCCACCCACGCCGGTGCTTTTGCTTTCGCGGGAAGAACAACGCTTGTTAATTGCGACTAGCGTTTAATGGTGATAGACGAGGGCGGGATGTCACGTGTGTGTGTGTGTGTGCGCGTCCGCAGGCTAAGGGGGTGTACGAGAAGGTGGGCGAGGCCACGGAGACTGCCCTCACCTGCCAGGTGGAGAAGATGAACGTGTTCGACACCCACTTGGTCGGCCTGTCCAAGGTGGAGAGGGCCAACGCATGCAACAATGTGAGTGGCACCGTCTCCTCCGGACCCCACCCACCACCCTTTGATAGCTCCTCCTATTGATACTTCACGCACCTCCAAGTTGTCCACTTGAGGGGGGAGAGGATTTGTTTAATTGCACTTCTTGGTGGCTTGGTGGAAGAGCAAGTGGCTTGGCTCTCAATCGGAAGAAAATCGTGGTTGGGAGTTGACTCGGCTCATTGTTTCTCCTGGGGTTGATAAAAGGAGTACCACTTTGTAGGGGGAAGCCAACCGTGATTGTCCTATGCAATAAGTAATCCCTGCCATAGGAATGCATAATTGGTGGACATCTCCGTCGGGGCCAGAAGGCTACGGAGCTTTGTGCCCCCCAGTGGCAGTTGACAATCTGCACACGGAACCACTGCTGAAAATGTATTTATTTAGACCTGCTTTTTGTGCTTAGTTTGTCCTTCCCCCGCACCTCCGATGAGCACGTTTGGCTACGTACGGTACGAAAGAAGTTCTACATCCGTACAACTGCAGTGGTTGAGCCCCCACTTCCCTGTGCCTTCCCTGTCTGCCCACGCTGCCACTGCAGGTGATCAAGCAACTGATGAAGAAGGAATTCACCCTGGAGTTCTCCCGCGACCGCAAGTCCATGTCTGTGTACTGCACGCCCGTCAAGCCCTCGCGCTCCTCCGTTGGCAACAAGATGTTTGTGAAGGTGATTGTTGCGCTGGTCACGAAGTGACCATGGTGTTCGTTTGCCAAGTCGACCTAAGAGGCACCCATGTAACCATCGTAAAGGCAATAAAAAAATGTTTTGGCCCGTTTACAAAGGTGGCAAGTTACATTGTTCTGATATTAGTATTCAAATTATTTCACCTTGATAATGGAGCATCTAATTTACAAGGATGGCCAGGGACATACAATAGTAAACGCGTAATGACACGTATACAAACATTTTACATCTACGTCTACATTATGCGTTCACGCGATAAACGCAACGCCTAGCAAAGCGCATAAATAGGCGCGTAAATAATGAAGCATAATCAATTGTGTAAATAGAATCGGAGGGAAAAGGCGAGGGTTGTTGACTGGATGCGATGGGGCGCATGCGTCAGGGTGCCCCCGAGGGAGTGATCGACCGCTGCTCGCACGTGCGCGTGGGCACCACCAAGCTGCCCATGACGGCCGGCATGAAGGAGAAGATCCTGGCGACGATCCGCGAGTACGGCACGGGCCGCGACACCCTGCGCTGCCTGGCGCTGGCGACGCGCGACATGCCGCCCCGCAGGGAGGACATGAACCTCATCGACTCCACCAAGTTTGCCTCCTACGAGGTGAGCGGTGGTGGTGGGGGGGGGGGTTCACACCCGCGGCTGCACTGTCATCTGATTTTCAGTCAAATGATCGATCGCTCCACCGATTTTATTGGTTCAATTTATTCGAACGTGAATATAGTCAGGCGCATAAAGTCTCGCTTCTGTTGGCCACATGTGCCGTTGGGTGGGAGGCGGGGGGTGGTTGGTGGTTTAGTTGACAAATCGATTAACCATTTCAAGCTCTTTGTCGATTCGGGAGAATGGTGCGTATGGGGGGGGTGAGGCTGAAAGAAATGGGTTGGTTCAGACAGAGGGGGTGTCCGTGTTGTCGTGTATTTATCTTAGCAAACAAATGGATTGTAAGTGGAATTATTTAAGTGTAATTAGAATATTAATTTGTAAAAAGATAAACTTGATTGATATTGGCAGTGGTGAAGAATGGGGAAAAAAACAGGAATTGGCATTGAGGGGTCACGCCAATGAAGCTTGCAGTTTGTCGATTGGGGTTGGTTTCTGAAGGTAGCATTCTCCTTTGTGGCGTGCCTTTTGGGCCGAGCCATTTAATTCGCCCATGGCCAGGCCTTAATTTCCAGACGCTCTGACCAGGTCGGTCACTGGCAGAATATTTTCACACCGGGTGCACACCACGTCCAGTATACCTCCTCGTTCTTGCTGTGACTACCGATTACGTGGGCCGACTCCAGTTTGCTCGTAACCAGGAATATTACCTACTAGAAGGAAATTAAAGCAATGCCCCCCCGCCCCCCCACTTCCGTGGTTCCCCTCCCACCTCGCAGGTCGACCTGACATTCGTGGGCTGCGTGGGAATGCTGGACCCTCCCCGCAAGGAGGTTTCCAGCTCCATCATCCTGTGCCGCGAGGCCGGAATCCGCGTCATCATGATCACCGGAGACAACAAGGTGACGGCAACACCACCCGGGGGTCGGGGTTTGGGTTTTTTTGTCCTGCGAGGTGCTTGCGGTTAATCGTCTCAACAAGTTGGTTCTAGTTGTTGAATCGTTTTATTTAACGAGGAGGTGAAACAAAACAATTGAGAGGCGTGAAACAGCATTGCCTCTTTGGAAATTCATAAATTGAACAACTGCCATCGGCTGCAACAAGTGTGTGATTGTGTCTTGAGTAACTTGCCAATAACAAACGTGTACTTTTGAGTCGCATAAGTAGTTGAGGAATTTCTTTTGACATGTTATGAACCTGCAGAATAACTATATCCATGTACGGAGCTCTAAGCGATGTGATTGGGGGTGGGGCCGTCGTGCAGGGCACGGCCGTGGCGATCTGCAGACGCATCGGTATCTTTGGCGAGGACGAGGACGTGAAGGACAAGGCGTACACGGGCCGTGAGTTCGATGACCTCCCACTGGAGGAGCAGAGGTTGGCTTGTCAGCGCGCACGCTGCTTCGCCCGCGTTGAGCCCTCGCACAAGTCCAAGATCGTGGAGTTCCTGCAGAGCTGCGACGAGATCACCGCCATGGTGAGTCGCGCTGTCCCTCCGCGCCAGGGCCTCCTTTTTGATTGGGAAACCTCGCTAATTGCAGAGATTGTCGATGGGATTTCTAAAGCTGTTCCCTGCTCGAATGAGCAATGGGGCACGACATTCGTCCATGTTGGTGTGACCCTGAGGCAGTGGTGAGTATTTTGCATTCCTGCCAGGTCAAGAGTCATCGTGGTCACTTGTTGATGCCGGGACATCGGGAGGGGTGGAATGATCGGGAGCTCCCACCGCCATCCCTGGGTGCGCCTCCAGCGACCGTGGTCATCCCTTACGGACAGCAGTCGCCGCTGGCGAGAGTTGCAAGCGAAAGTTTCAACGTTCGTCTGCTCTCTTTTTTTCATGTCCCCAGACTGGCGACGGCGTGAACGATGCCCCGGCGCTCAAGAAAGCCGAGATCGGTATCGCCATGGGCTCCGGCACGGCCGTGGCCAAGTCTGCGTCCGAGATGGTGCTCGCCGACGACAACTTCTCGTCCATCGTGGCGGCCGTGGAAGAGGGGCGCGCCATCTACAACAACATGAAGCAGTTCATCCGCTACCTCATCTCCTCCAACGTGGGCGAGGTGGTGTGGTGAGCGACCCACCCTCCACACACGTCTGCCGACTTCCGTATCGCGTACCGCGTACTGGTGCACCTACTGGCTGGTCTCACAGCTACTGGCTACTGGCTTCTCACAGAATTACAACCGCTGGCTACTCGCCTACCGGCTACCAGCACACATTTGCTAGCTCGCCACACATCGTGGCTACCCACACACACCTACTGGATATTTAGCAACGTGCTGAAATGCTCGTAAAAATACTGGCCCAATCCCAACAATTATCATGCAAGGGAAACCTTGAGTTTTAAGTGTCATTTGAAACTCGCGTTGGAACGGCGCAAAATCAACTTTGATTTGTAGCTATTGCCTATTAAATATAACACGTGCGTCAATTTTATGTGTTTTAACGAATCGCTGTTTTGTAATTCATGTTTTGTTGCAATGTTTTCTCCTCACACCTGCCTCCACTAGAGGAGTTGCCACATTCCACATTGTTTAAAAAAAAATTGTTCTTAAATCAAATTGCGACCCTGAATTAGGACGTTTTGTCGCATCGCTGCGGTGGGGAATCATTCCGACTCTCCTGTACACTCTACACCGAGCACATTGGTTAAGGCGAATGTGTGCAGTGTTTTAGATTAAACTCCTCCTCTCACCGATGACCCCCTCCCCTCCCATAACCCTAGCATCTTCCTGACGGCCGCCCTGGGCTTCCCCGAGGCTCTGATTCCCGTGCAGCTGCTGTGGGTGAACCTGGTGACGGACGGGCTCCCGGCCACCGCACTCGGATTCAACCCCCCCGACCTGGACATCATGGAGAGGCCTCCCCGCAACCCCAAGGAGCCCCTCATCAGCGGCTGGCTCTTCTTCCGTTACCTCGCCATCGGATGTACGTTGCACTTGTTTTGTAAAAAAAAAAAGGATTTTTTTTTTCCCTCTCGATGAACGGGCTGTCCGTGCCACGAGACCAAAGTATCCGTTGGGGCTGTCTCCCAGAGCAGTGCAACCCGTTGTGTTGGAGGACGGCTCGCGTGTGTGGAGATGGCAGACGCTTCCTCCCATGAGATCCATTCCAGTTGCCACCGATCCACGTAGTAGAGATGGCAGCACCTTTCCCAGTGCTTGGCATCCGGGCGAAGACCACTGTCTCGCTCGATTTGAGAAGCCAGTTTAATTGCAGGCGGCAGCTGCTTTGATTTGAATCCTGGATCTCGGGTGGTGTTGGCTCGGCCACTCGGTATGCTCAGATTGGCATTCCTCTCGAAATCGACCCAGGTTTGTATATACAAGATATTTTCTGGGTTCTGTATTTGATGCGTTCTCTTTAGTTTAATTACTTTCAACCACCCTTACAAACAATGCGCCAGTCCATGTGAAATGGTTGTTGCGTGTGTGGATTCGTTAGTCGCAGGTCAAAATATGCCTCGGCATGTTTGTGAATCGTAAAATCGATTTTCCCCAAAATGCCGCAAGTTGGGTTTAAGAGGTCATTGCAGTCACGCTGGTTATTCCACTTAATCCCAGTCTCGGAATCGCTTCCTCTTGCTGGATCCTGTAGATATTGTTCATTTGAAACCCAACCTTTGCGGTATCAAGGTCTGTGGCCATAGCACTGAGCAGCAGGCACTCTCTCCTCCCAACGTTCCGATGGTTACCACAAGGCACGAGTCCCAGATCCCACCAAACAGCCACCAACTTTTAATCTACCTCTAGCACCACCTTCACAAGTGGAAATTCAACGAGAGCATGGCACATGATTGCGGAAACACAGACCGAACCATGGACCACAGTGTAGTGAACTGCTGTGTAATCGGAAAGTTTTACAGGCATTCTGTACAATCCACCATTCTTTGAATCAATTTTCTTGCTAAATAATTGCTCTACATCTGTGTGCTGTGAAGATGGGCAATTGCCCCAATTAAATATTGTAATTTTCAGCCCACAGTGTTATTGGCGAATGTAAGTTCGTTATTTGTGCTTTTGCATCACTGCCAGCACAGCAGTATCACCAAATTATGTGTTAAATCTGAATGTAGACTCATAGATTGCTGTCCATGCATCACACACAAGAGAAAGACTAATCTCCTGGAGCCCTCGCTGCCTTGAGCAGATGCACTGTGCCGAGTGTTCAACAACACGTGATCAGGGTCCCTTTAACCACCACTTTCAGATGATCCCTACTCGTAATGTTTGGTCACATCTCACGGCCAGAACTCGGATCTTGCCTGATGTGCATACAGGTTGTACCGTGGATTCGGACGTTGTGTTTAACGCAACGCTGTCCAACCAGAAAACACGTGGGGAACCATACGGCCCGACAACGAAACCTTACATGGTCCACGACAAGAATCCTTGCAGTCGTAATTTGTTGTTTACTTATTGAGTCTGAAGAAGGGAGGGGGAGGGAGGCTGTTGCAATGACTCCTCAACTGTCACGTGTCATTGCTGCCACTCTCAGGCTACGTGGGCGCTGCCACGGTCGGTGCCGCCGCCTGGTGGTTCATGGCGGCCGATGACGGACCTGGTGTGACGTTCTACCAGCTGGTAAGGGGAGGCACAGCCGGAACTTCCACCCCTCCGTCGGGTCGTTCCAATGAGGTTCTGCTTGTCATGGTGTCATTCGTCGAGGTGTTTATTTAAACCCAGGTTGCCCTTTGAAATTACATTGGGGCCCGTCTTAGTGGAATCTAGCCTGCTTATTTATCAAGGTCATCTACCTACCTGATCCGTTGAACTGTGAGTGTTTGTGTGGAGAGTGGCGGTGTAGTAAATCACAGAGTCGTACACGCTGCAACCTGCGTTGGATTTCCCAACCACAGGTAATGTCATTTAGCAATTGGTACCTAAACCTGTTCTGGGTCTCCTGTCGGTCAACTCGGCTGTCAATTATCTGGTGGGTGTGAAACATTAATATTGGGGAAAGGTTGCTGCCGGGTATGGTACTGGCTGCATCACACCCTGATGTGCTGCGCTGGCTTTAATAGGTGCTCACGAACAGCACTTTACCCGTTAGCATAAGAGGCAGAAAGGACGATTTTGCAACGCTAACATTGTGCAAAAGGCGACTGATGCAGCAAACGGCACACTTGTGACCATAGGCACATTGCAGCGCAATGAAACAACGTTACAACGGCTTCATCTCGATTGAGAACTCCTCAGTACAGTCTAGCCATGTGCTGTGTTGGGCTTCAAGGTGTTCGTCATGTGTACAAGACCTCCCTGATCGCCACTTGTCCTGTCGACGAGAGTCAGCGGACACTGCGCTGGCGCAGTGACGAAGTTTGACGTTCATTTTTGTTTCTCCTGCAGAGCCACTTCATGCAGTGCACCCCGGAACACCCCGACTTTGAGGGCCTGGACTGCCACGTGTTCGAGTCTCCGTACCCCATGACCATGGCCCTGTCCGTGCTCGTCACCATCGAGATGTGCAACGCTCTCAACAGGTGGGGCTCGCCGCATGTCTCCATCGGTGTTGGGAGCGGTGTGAGACCGGTTCTGGGAAAAATTACCCAATAACATTCTATTGCGTTTTAATATCAAAATATGTAAGAAAAAACCACACTAACTTGTATTGGTCAAACAAGCCCAATGTTTGTATGTTCTCCTCCTGTTGGGCACCATGTGTTACCTCCGGCCTCTCAAGTTTCATCCTCTCCTATAGCTCAACGCAAACCACACAATAGTAAACCGGTATTGGCCCAAACCACATCCCAATGCTCGAAAAAAATTACCTGAAAATCACTGAATTGGGATCACACACACAAGCAACACCGCCAACACCCTCTTCCCCTCCCCACTGCAAATACTTGGCAGGATCCTCCTGAAAGAAGCTTGAGACCCTGAGGCTTTCCTGTGTGGACAAGCGTAATGGTGTAATATATTTGCTGCATGCTACATCGCGGTTGGACATTGCGTGCATTTCACATCCATTGCCACTGTGGGCAAGTCGCCAGTGGTTGTCCTACGGAGATGGTTGCCCCTCTCCCGCCCTCGTGGGGGATGTGGAACTTCCACCGCTGGCTCGGGGCTGTGAACGGGAGATTAGCGCCACCTCTGCTCGCTTAAGCAGGAAATGACTTGGAATGTGTAAGTTATTAATTATATATTACATATTCGGAGCCGCCATGGTGTGACGACTGGCCATACTGAGCTTCAAAAGTAATTGACTGTGGTAATTGTGCTCGTTGTCCCTGTTTTTTTTTGCCCCAGGGCTATGTTGTCAGCAGGGGCCAGGGCAGCTCAATCCAGTGTTGTACTGTACTATGCTGTCCTTTCAATGTGTATGCTGCCCGCCTTAACCAACGCACATTGATGAGTATGGCAAAGCGTGCTCGAATATCCCCCCAAAATGTTTTTTTTACCCACCAAGCCAATGATGGGTTCTTTGTCCTGCAGCCTGTCGGAGAACCAGTCTCTTCTGCGCATGCCGCCGTGGGATAACATCTGGCTGCTGGGCGCCATCTGCCTCTCCATGTCCCTGCACTTCCTCATCCTCTACGTGGAGCCACTGCCCGTGCGTACTCGCGTGCCCTGGCACTAACGGCGCCGACAGGAGACTGTAATACCATGTGGATTTATACAGCTGCATGGAAACGTTCGAGAATATTTTATTTTATCGAGGCGGTCGGTTATAGGCCAAAGTAAATAGGAAGGTATTGAGCAGCGGCAGGGAGTTGACAGCATCTCATGGGAATAAGAATATCTTGCAATGCCAGAAACTGACAGACACGGGCAATTTTAATGCTCCAAAAAGACTTGCAGGTTTCCCAGTCATGCTACCTCAAGTAGAGTACAAATCCTGTCAAAACCAGGACCGGTAGCAACCCTAGTGAGACCGTCTGCACGCTCGACAGCCACCCTCCCTCCCACTGTGGTCGAGTGTGGGACTTGAATTGGTGCCGAACCGGAAGCCGTCGCCCAGTCAACCGCCCGCCGCCACCCAACCGACGCCCGTGCCATTTTTTTGTTCCGCGCGCAGATCATCTTCCAGATTACGCCGCTGAATCTGGAGCAGTGGCTGGTGGTGCTGAAGATCTCGCTGCCCGTCATCCTGCTTGACGAGACACTCAAGTTCATCGCCCGCAACTACCTGGAGGGTAAAGAGCTCGAGTCTCCGCACTTCCCTGGCAAGGCGGGCGGGCCCGTCTACCTGGGCTCACACGCGCACGGCATCTCCTGGCCGTTCCTGCTCATATTTACACCACTCATTGTCTGGCTGTACAGCGTCGACACTAACATCAACCGCATGTTCTGGGCGTGATTTACCGTCGTTTTTGTCCCCCCCCCCCCCCCCACCTAAAACCACCACCACCACCCCCACGCCGCCGCACACTTCCTGTATTTCCAGACCACCCACCCTCCCACGCCAAACCCTTCCTTGTTTATCGTTTTGATTTGGAAGAAATAATTGTTTATTCTTATGTTTTGCCAACTCCAAGCAGACAAACAAGGTTGCGTCGTTGATTTGTACCGTCTCCCCAAGCCCGTGCGAGTACGTAGAGAGGAATCTGCACCGATGGCGGTTGTGTTGAGACGATGCAAATACGTCTTTATTGGTTCTAATTTGTCACGCGAGAGTTTGCGCGCTGGAGGGAGAAGGTATCCTTCCATTGCAGCGTTCCGTAGCCGCCGTCCTTGGAGCGTCCCCCCCCCCCCCCCCCCCATGCGCCGCGGGCACCTCTTCGCCTGCCTTCGAGAAACTCTCGAAGCTCTGTTGACTCGTGGTCTATATTTTTTTTCATTTTAAGAAATTCCAACCAATGCCACTCGAACCACCCACGAGCGCCTGCGAGCACAACCGCGGGACGTCCTGTTTATTGATTGCATTATTCTTGATGATTTGTTTTTTGCAGCGGCAGTCCTTTTGGCCCGGCACACGTTTGTGTAATTATCATTGGAAGGGGTTTTTTTGCGTAACTGCCCCTAGTTGTTTTTACCTTTTTTTGAAAATTTCATAGTTAGGTTATTAGAATTCTAAGTGAATTTTAAATCTTAAACAAAAAAACTAAATTAGTGGAAAGACGGTTAGAATACATGTTGGCATTGCCTCAAAGTGGCAACGCTTGTACGTTTTTTGTGATGCCATAAACTATAAAAGACATTGAGGTAACGAACCAATCTTGCATGGTGTGAAGGTGCTTGATCAATTAACTGCTCGTGTTGTTCACTGTTTGACTTGACGTGCTAAAAGTGTAGTCTTGAAACCAAGCATCAGTTGTGTTTGCGTGTTTGTGCGTGTGTGCGACGCACGTGTGCGTACATACGTTCCAGCACACGCGCGCGTGGACACACGCACGCATATATTAATACAAGGGGGCGGAGGGGGGTTTTCTCCTGCACATGCTAAGAGTGGTGTCCTGGCTGTCTCGTAATCCCCTCTCGCTTGAATTCATTCCCTCGTGTTCGTTTACAAAGCTGAGGATGAAGAGCAGACTCCTCCGACCGCCCAAACTCAAAATCTACCTTCGTGTGCAGAAAAAGGCCCCCCACCTCCACAGAGTTCGTGTTTTGTTCTCGTCTCGTGCTGCTGTCCCCCCCCTCTCCTTTACCCCCTTGCCTCTCTAACCACACTTCTTCCACGGATTTTTAAAACGAAGGTATTTATTTGAAAAACAAAAACACGGATGTATTTTTTATTGTCTGAGCAGACAACTTAGAATTGGTCCGTAAAAAAGTTTATAACGCAAATGCTGTTGCAGGATTAACGATCCAGATATTGTTTAATGAATAAATAAAACTTGTAAATGTACAGTCACACCTACAAACCAGTGCTTGTTCAAGTTTACTCTCCTTGTTTTGCGGTCTGCATTCCCGTTGTAGGTAACACCACCACTACCACCCACCGCCACTAACGCGTTAGGACCAAGTGCTCTCAGTGGGCATGCAACGCAGTTCCCCTTTTATTTAAACTCCATTGTGTATTTGTTGCTTTTAAGGTGGGATTCTTTTTCTTTTTAAACCTTTTTGACGGTTACCTGCCGCTGCGAGAGGCGCCTTGCCACGTGTCACGATGTAGTCATTCCAGTTGGTGAACGACGACCTGTTTTGCTTGCCACGTGTGTGTGTGCGGTGATCCGAGGCAGTCTTATTCCACGGGCCCCTGCCGCTACCACCACATCCCTGGGGGAAGGGGGATGGGCTATGGTAGTCGTGGGCTCGCTCTTAATTCTGTGTAAAACTTGTGTCACTTTGACAGCGTTAACAGTGTAAAAGTGATGCGTCGGTGGGCAGAGTAAGTAGCGGACATGTACGGGTCGTGCATGCCACTATGCCCGACCGCGCACGCGTTGTGCGTGTGTGTGTGCGTGTGTTTCCCCGTTTGCCGTGTCTTTTTATTAATCACCTGCGGTGTGTCCTCATGTTGCCTGTTAATGTTTTCACGCCTGCCCTCTCCGGGGTTTTACGAGTGAGTATAACTACTTTACATTATTTATATAGCCTTGACGCGCGCGCGCACTCTCACCACTAACTAATGCATTCCATGTCGCTGGCAGACAGGTTTCTCCTCCGTGAATGATTTTTTCTGTTTTTTTTTACCTGCAGATATAATTAATGGCCTATTTGCCTGCGGACTTGTGAATGGTCTTAACCCCGGGCCCGATGATTTGCAGTAACTGCATTTGACTCTAAAATGTTAATCTTACCCAATACGTCGCTGCCTTGAGTTTCCGCAACAGCCTCTCTCCTCTCGTTTTCTTAAGCGCTTTCAAAGAAGCACCACTTTCTTGATTAAATCCGTCAACGCGAAAGTACCTGGCATGTTTCACTGCACGCACATCCCGGTGATGTGTAATGAATGCGGCACCGGGGCTCACGTCGCTTTTATTTATTCTGCTGCTGAGCACGCTGCACCACGGCATGGGGTGGGAGCACGTGGGTGGGGTGCACAAGGCGCGGTGGCTGAAACGAGTCGGTGCTCTGCGACGCATTTACTAAAATGTGCCGCGTGTTTATATATTTTCATATTTACACACGCGCACACACACATGCACCCCACAACAACTTTCGTTAATCCACTGCTGGATACAGAGCCCTCGCGACGCCGTGCGTGCGCGCGGTTGTTTGGGGAGGGTAGGTTAATGTCACCATGCCGCCAACCACGAATGGCCAGTGCGGGTCTGTGAAGGGCATGCTTGTGACTCTTGCCAAATTACGAACTCTGGGGCAGAATCGCCCGTCTCGTGCGCAGTAATGCAATGTGCATTGTACACGAGTGATACAAAACACGGGTAAAATTGGCACGTTAATGTCACCATGCCGCCAACCACGAATGGCCAGTGCGGGTCTGTGAAGGGCATGCTTGTGACTTGCCAAATTACGAACTCTGGGGCAGAATCGCCCGTCTCGTGCGCAGTAATGCAATGTGCATTGCACAAGAGTGATACAAAACACGGGTAAAATTGGCACGTACATCAGTGGTGGTGAAGTTGTGTTACGGTGCATTAAATTCGCCGTAGTCGGTGGCTTACGGAGCGGCAGGGGGCTGCGTGGCAGCTCGCGCGCCCCGGGGGCACGGAGCCCCGAGCCGCGCTCTCCGTCGTCGCTAACGCCGCTCCCTTCTGTTCCTTTCTCTCTCTCTAGGAATGAACACGAACGTTTAGGCCTCTCTCCTGTCCGCCCTTCAGTCTCTTGAACAGTAGTACGTAAAACAAAGCGGGGGAGAGGCGCGTCACGAGCGTCTTGCATGTTCTAGAAGAACAAACACAAAACCAAAGCGGCGGAACCTCGCAACAAGATATCAGCCGCGCGTGTCCCGTGTCCGTGTGCGTCTCGGGAGAGTGGGTAGACCAATGTAGGACGGTGTGCCGAGTCCACGTGTTTGTGGCGTAGAGGTGAGTGTCCCGTGACAGGCGGGGGTGTGTAGGTTGGTGTGAGACTCCTGTCTGGGGCGGAGTACGTGACCCCCCCCCCCTCGACTGTGCACGGACCTTACCGTAGCGTTGCCCCCCCCCCCCACGGCCTCTCCCCGTTCGTGCCGCCGCCAATGCCCCAAATTCCCCGTGGGGTCGCGTGAATTTTATTTTATTAAAGAAGCGAATACCCCGAGGTTAGGTGGGGGGGGTTGAGCGGATGGCCTCGTCAACCCCAAGCTGCATGCGATCTGTGCGTCACCTGCACGCATCCCCTTACTACCCCATCGCCTTCCCGGGCCCCGTAAAACCCGAGTTTAACCGCCGTGGCCACGTTGGGTGTGTGATCAGTCGAACTCCACCATCATCATCACCACCACCGACGACGCCGCCGCTCGTCACCGCTTGTTCCTCTCCGTCCAGACCAGGAGGAGCCCATTCAACGTGGCGGTGGTCGCGCTGGTGCTGGTGCTGGCGGCTCTAATCGAGTCCGACGAACGCGCTGCAGTCCCGTGCGGTGCCGTAATTGTATCGTCATGACTTTCATTTTTAAGAACAAAAGCACCCCTAAAAGTGATTTGCTGTAACGGTGATAAACAATTGGCTTCTAGGACCATTCGGCGCGCTAATTTTTCGCCCCCCACCCCCACCTCGATCCTGCGTCGAGGCTGAAACTCGACAACGGTGAACGACGCCGAGGGACATGGGAGGGGAGAGACAACCCGGGGACCCCCCGGGGCTTCGGGTTTAAGTTTAATCGTGTTGTGGTTTAATTTGTAGTTTCTCTCCCTCCGGCGAGAACGCGGTTCTGCGTGGGTTGAGACGTCTGGCTGTTGATTTGGAATCCATCGACCGCACCAGCCCCACACCAACGCGCCCCCCCTCTACCAAACACAGTCGCATTTGTAACCCCCCCCCGTGTACAAACGAACGAGTTTGTGGCGTCTAACGTTGATGATCAGCGTTCGCAATCGGCGTCCCATAACGCCGCCCTATATATACTGTATGTTCACCCATAGCCCCATTTCGCGATGGATATTGAGAGCGGTACTACTGCAACATTGGGGGGGGATATCCTGGGGGGCAGAGCCAACCAGGGGTGGGGGTCCTTTTCGGATGGAGCCCCCCCTCCCCCCTCGGGTTTTCAGCAGCAGCGCCCCCCCCAACCTCCTCCCCCCCCCGCCTCCACGTGTACAGGCCCACCAACCTTGGTTACAAAGACGTCGAGACATTGCGTGTATACAGTACTTTAATGGAATTTCCATCTTTGTTTAAAATAACATTAATAATATAAAATAATATTGTAATATTACAGCATGCCTTATGTGACTGGTACTCCTTCTGGTGAGAAAAATGCAAGCGCCAGATAAGAAGATTAACTTATAACCCCGTGACCCAGGAGATGTTGGCGTTGACGATGAGCAGTGGTGGAGGGGGAAGCGATGGACGGATTAAAGGTTGTTGTCTGGATGAATGCACGGACGACGGGGGAGGTGTAACAGGTTCTCCCGCAGTCGCAGGGATCGCAGAGAGCAGATCTCGTAAGAGGCGTCTGAACGCGGCACGCGTGTCGTCGTCGTCGCGAGCGGATTTAAAAGTCGTGCGCGTCCACGTGTGCGCGTCCGGGCACTGTATCGTACAGTAGCGAGCACGTGTTTCCTCCTTGTGCGAGGTGGGAGGGAAGGAGAGACGCGTGTCTCTTCCTGCGAGCCGCCTCCTCTTCCTGCTGCTTGCTGCTGCTCATGATGATGCTGGGTTTTGTAACTCGCACAACCATTAATAAAAGCGCCAGTCCTCTGACTGTTAAAACAAGAGATGGTCTCCCGCTCGTGTTTTCGGGTTTCGTTTGCGCGGCGCGCGCCCCCTTTGTGCGAGAGGCTCGCCCCCAGCCCTCGTGGGCCACCGCCCCAGTCCGTGGTGATGACATTGGGGGTGGGGGCAAGGCAGCATTGGGTTTCGGGAGATAAATCTCAGAATCTTTACACTGGAGGAGGAATCCGATGAGCTATAAAGCTCTTTTAAACATATCTTCAGTAAGGGGCAGGTCGCAACAACAAACGATACACGATAGGAGCGCAAAGTTTCGGAAAGGTCAGTAAGGCACTTAAAATATATACGAATTAAACGGAACTTTAAAAAAAATCTAACCATATAAAGCCCACAGCTTTTCGTTTTTTTTCGAACAAGGTCTGCTGCTGGCCACGGCGAGAGGGCTTCACGAGGGGTCGTGTCGTGGTGTTCCTCCGTCGAAGGAGCGCAGACTGCGTTAGTCCACAGGTTCGGGTTGCATGGCCACAAACTGCTCTCGTCTTCAATTTTAATTTCCCATCCCCTCGACGACTCTGACCTGTCATCCCCGTCAACATAGCTACACCACTTTTAACAACAACCACACTTCATGACCTCGGCCGCGATTAGCGTGTGGACAATTGTATAATTGTTGTAAAGCGCATTGAAGTCGAGGCGCGATGTTCGGATTGACGCTATTGGTCGTTCCTTGTCGCAGCGGCTCCACGTGTCACGCTGTTCGTGTTACCATGAACACGACCACCACCGTCACCTGGGACAAGGGGACGTGAACTCGAATCGAGATGTGACGGAGAGAGCTAAATACCCAACCAAGTCTCTCATGGGCCAGAAATCGATCGTCTTCGAGCGAAATAAACTCAATATCGAAGGACTCTCAAAAATTAAATGTCACTTCCCGGCCAGAAACGTTTTGTCAACGCAACGATTACGAAGGAGACATCATCACAGCGATACAGGACGCCGCTGCTCCTGACGAGGTTGTCTGGCTCCACCAACTGAATGTGAAATTGTAGCTGTTGCTGTGGATCTCCATCAGCCGTGCGAAAGAAAAATGCAACCTTTGGATGAACGCGTCTCCCTCCCCACGCTGTACGCAGATCGTGGGGGTTATTTGACCAAACTTCACGCTGGTCACGGCGGCAACCTCAATTGAGAACAGAAATAGATCACGATGTTTTTGCTGCACCTGCCGTCAGCTGCAACGTAGCCCTTGCGTCCCCGTGATAAGCTGTCTGTGATAATCACGCAGGCAAGCACTATCCAGGCTCAACGTTGCTTAGCTTGCGAGATTGTGTTGATTTGGTAAGCGACCCTACTGTGAAAACAGCTGTTGCAAGGCAATTACTGCAGCCCATCGATTGTCCTACAATGATCCCCTTTGTTAAAAAATAAATCCTCAGTCTCAAGACTAGTTTAGGACGGTCCTCTATTGAAATGCTTCGCCATTTTATTAATCAGTTTACTTTAAGCACAGAAACGTACTCTTTGGTTCTATTCGGTAAAGTCGCGTAGGTAAAACATAAAACAACAAAAATCACGACGTTTCGGCCACAACACAAGTGGCCTTCAGGTGAAGGAACAGAACTGTCGGGACGACAGCACTTCATTGACCGCTGCTAAGATTCGCAGCGTCTTTTAAGCTCGGTGGGAGGAGCAGGGCGCCTTGACAAATGAGTTTACATATCAAAAATAGCAGTGTTAAAGTGTTGAAGCAGCAGGGTGTTACAGTCAGAAAATTAGCTGGGGGATTAGCATGTTTTTGTGTAGAGGGTGCGGAGGATGGGTCACTGTGTGTGTGCAATAGAAATGGAAAAAGTTAAAGATCGGCAAGAATGTGCTGTCAGGGGAGAGTAGAAAAAAGGGTTTAATAGAAAGTTCGGAAGGAATATGCTTGGTATACCATTACTTGAAATTGCTGTTAGAAATTAGTTGACGTTTGGTATGATTTAAAACGTCTTTCCAATGGTTGCTTAATTTGAAACCATCCTCTCGGTTGAAGTTATGTCTGTGTTTGTATATCTGAATGGCTTCGTGGACAAATCTCTGGTGATAACCTGTAGGTTTACAGAGAACCTTGGTATCGGAGAAGACAATCTCATGATCACCCATAGCGTTGTAACAATGATCAGCCACAGCAGATGAATTCGTTCTACCGTGTTTCAGATCTGATTTGTGCTCGCGAATTCGGTCGGAGATATGTCGTTTCGTCTCCCCGATATAACAATCACCGCAGGTACAACTCAATTTGTAAACTCCGGGGTACTGTAAGTCAGGGATGACATCCTTCACGGATGGGATCAGGTCACGGATTTTGTGTACTGTATTGAACCGGATCAGGATCTTGTTTGTTTAGAATTTTGGAGATCTTTTTAGTAACGCCTGCTATATATGGTAGTGTGATGGTTTTGACCGGAGTATCAAGTGGTTGTTTCTGTATGGAGGGAGAAACAGCTTGGCGAATGGTACGGTCAGAGTATCCGTTTCTCTTGAGGGCCAGGTGTACATGTTTTAATTCACTGGTCAGGTGGTGTTGGTCCGAAATGCAATGAGCCCTGTGGTATAACGTTTTGATGAAAGAATTCTTTTGAGCTGGGTGGTGGTGGGAATCAGGCTTCAAGTAGGAATCTGTGGATGGGTTTCCTGTAGACAATGCCCCAATGAGCCATCAGGTCTCCTCTCAAACAGAACATCCAAGAATGGTAGCTTGCCATCTTTCTCCACCATGGAAGTGGATCTCCATCAGCCGTGCGAAAGAAGACTGCAACCTTTGGATGAACGCGTCTCCCTCCCCACGCTGTACGCAGATCGTGGGGGTTATTTGACCAAACTTCACGCTGGTCACGGCGGCAACCTCAATTGAGAACAGAAATAGATCACGATGTTTTTGCTGCACCTGCCGTCAGCTGCTCCTTCCGAACTTTCTATTAAACCCTTTTTTCTGCTCTCCCCTTACAGCACATTCTTGCCGATCTTTATTTTTTTCCGATTCTATTGCACACACACAGTGACCCATCCTCCGCACCCTCTACACAAAAACATGCTAATCCCCCAGCTAATTTTCTGACTGTAACACCCTGCTGCTTCAACACTTTAACGCAGCTATTTTTGATATGTAAACTCCTTTGTCAAGGCGCCCTGCTCCTCCCACCGAGCTTAAAAGACGCTGCGAATCTTAGCAGCGGTCATTGAAGTGCCGTCGTCCCGACAGTTGTTCCTTCACCTGAAGGCCACTTGTGTTGTGGCCGGAACGTCATGATTTTTGTTGTTTTATTATTTACCTACGTGGCTTTACCGAATAGAACCAAGGTGTATGGATCCTTGCAGTCACGAAAGCTTCAAATCTAGAACACAGAAACGTAGTTCCCAGAGAAAATCTGTCGCTTGTACCACACTGCCACCTACCGGTCACCTCACTACTTGGTAAACAGGAGTACGTAATCCAGAGTACCAGCCTCGTGTCCATATTCACTGATAGATGAGGGTCTTACCAGTAGCCCACAGACTTAACTCTGCCAACTTTGTTTCAAAACATAGTTGTCATACACATTAAGATGATCTGTGGACTGCAAGAGTAACGTTTAATTTGCAAAACAGCAACACTTTCACAGAATGGCACCCCAGCCCTTGCATCAACTTTTTTCACTCGGTTTGATGACAGGATCTCAGCGGTGCCAGCTCTATGATTTGACCTTGGAGTTACATTTCCACCACTGAATAAAACGGCGAACTTTCACTTTCACCTAACCTGGATGGGGAAACCCAAGATTAAAAAAATATTTCACGTGACTTCAGGTATCAAAAGGAAATACAATTGAAGGCAATTCTCATCCTGGTGTCAATACCGAAGATCAAGACAAACCTTGCTCAAGTTGGACCCAATCACGTGGAACAGGCAAGTCGAGATATAATGAATTGTACAACTGAGAATACTACAAATCATATCATGAATGCCGAATGGAAATTCAACTGGTGACTCACCTTGCAGAACCACACAAAGGCATGTGACATTAGTCACGAGAGACAATCGATGTTACATCCAGAATTATAAATCTGCGGCTCGAAGTTTTTTTTATTGAATACAGACAAATGACAATGACACAAGCTGAGCTCCGTTACAGGCAACACAGTGCAGAAATGGGGATAGTTTTTTTTCTTTAGTTGCGTATAAATAATTGCTTACAGCAGGCAAAACGGCACAGTATTAGAAATACCTGTCTGCCTTTGCGAGACCGTGACAGATTAACATGAATTTTTTTGTAAAAAACAGCAAGTTTGAAACATAACGACACGATACAGGAAGAGACGCATCATCATCTTATCGAGATCAAGCTAAATTACGCTGAACCTAATTATCTCAGAAACAGACTTGTATTTTGTTGTGTAACTTCCTGCTTATATTTTATAACTTTCATCATACTGCATTAAACGCTCTCAAATTTACTGGCATTTGACAAATCCATTGAGCTCCTCCAGGAAGTGGATGTACTCCTGGTGCTCCAGCGCTGTGCTCAGTTCCACCAGCTCGTCTGCAAACGTGTTGTCCACCCCGCGGTCCGCCAAAAAGTCCATCATGTGGTCGTACAGCGTCTGCAGGTCGGCGGCACAGCGATCGGGGGATGGGCATCGGTGGGGCATGCGTGGGTGGGGAGGAAACGTGGCTTTCGTTATTTCACCGACGCAGCAGCAGCTGCACCCATCAGCTGCTCCAACGAGATTCGCGTCGGTTCTGCGCGATGTCCAGCTACGACAACGTAACGCGAGGAGCCCTTCATCGACCACTGCTGGACAGGGGGCTCCCCATGCAACGCGGAAGACGAGGGCTGTTTGACCCGACTTAACCACACTGGTTAGCGTGGGGGTACGTCGGGAGTGTCTAAGTGCAGCGCACCATTAGATGCTGCTGCACTGCCCTCTGCTGCCCATTAATAATAAGTACAGCCCCACAACCCGAAATGCATGCTGGTCACCAATCCAAGCATTAACCGAGCTCAATACCAGCTCGGAT